CACGGCCTTGAAAACAATAACACGATTTGTTTACGGGGTATCGGTGTGTGCCACGATGTTCGCTTTGTGTGCCCTCAGTCTTTTCACTTTCGTTTCGTTTAGTTTTAGTGACGTCTTACGGCGCTCGCAACTGCATAAGGTGATATGAGCGCCAGAAGATTAGAGGTGTTACAAGAGAGTAACAAACATAAAAAAGAAGAAGGGGAGACAAGGACGATAGATGTTTGATAGGAAAGAAGAAGCAAACCACACCAGAGCACCCGCCAACCACCCACGTCCTCAGTCTGGCTTGTCCAGCCTACCAAACCGATCGCGCTGATGGGCACTGGGTATTACCAAGTCTGTGGTATTACTTTAGGCGTTCACATGACCAGTGTGCGAGTCCTCAATGAGTTCATGACCGTTTATTCTGTCCCCGTGGTTTTATGCACCCCGCATAATTTAGCAACATTTGATCATTTTCTGCATAATTTCTGATTATTTTCCTTTATCTTTCTTTGTTAAAATTAACAGAATCGCATAAATTCATATTTTGGACTCAGTTTGCATAATTCCAGAATTGTTCTTGCCCAAAACGACGGGGACAAGTTTATTGTGTCACTGTTGTTTTTCTATTTCCTTTGTCAAATCTTTCAGTTCAGCAAAGCCGACAGATGGATGCCAAAAAGACCTTCCACAGATTCACGATCATCTTTTGCTGGTTTCTGCTCGCTGAAGCTGCAGGTGGGCAAAAAAAACAACTTGATCTAATCTTATAATTATTACCATTTTACATGTATGTGTAATAACCGGTGGCCTAGTGGTTAGGCTATCGGACTCGTCATCGTGAGGTTGTCGGTTCGGGGGTCCTGACGTTGTGTCCTTAGGAAAGACACTTTACACGAATGTTCCTCACTTCACCCAGGTGGGAATGGGTACCCGTCCATAGACAGCGAAAGACCTTGTCAGTATGTTAGTGTTTTAGCGCCCATAAAATGGCAGCGTGCGCTGTATGCTTCCTAGGAGGCTGAGTTTGTTTCAGAATGCTCTCAGGACTGCTGGGGTAATACATGTAGTAGAGTAGATTGGGAAGCGCATAGAGCTTTCTGTTGAGCGGGGATTAGCGCTATATAAATGCTATCTATCATTATTGTTATCTATTATTATTATTATTATTATTATTATAATCATAATTATTATTATTATCATTATTATTATTATCATCATCATCATCATTATTATTATTATTATTATTATTATCATTATCATCATTATCATTATTATTATTATCATCATCATTGTTGTTATTATTATTATTATTATTATTATTATTATTATTATTATTAAAATAATGCATACAATGCAGTTGGCTCCCCGTATGCTCTGAGAGAAACCTAAATGTGAGGCATCATGGGGAAATCAGGCGCTCGTCAAAATAATTAGATAGAAGAAACAGCCATTTTCCCTCCAGTTTGGCAATTTCCATGGAATTTTTCTTTTTTGGCTCATCACATTGTATGTCTGTATAAAAAAAACATTTTTGAGTGAATTTTACTGAAAAACGTTGATTAATGGCACAAAATAAGCAAATTGTCAGTTTTCAAGGACTCTCAAGCTATAGAAGTTACCAAACTTTAGCAGCCATTTCCTCTCTAATTTTACCGCTGAAACCATGCTGCCCAGCTTTCTTCTATGGCAAATACCTCAACTTCTATTCACAATAGATGGGCATATTTTTTCACAGAAAGCAAGGCAAATGAATAAGCCTCCAGATGATACCAATAACTCCACATGCCCCAAAATTGACGAGCGCCTGATTCCACCGTGTCATGACACATACGTGAGGCATTGTGGTGAAATCAGGCGCTCGTCAAAACAAGGAAAGGAAAGAAATTGGCATTTTTTCTGGACGTTGGACATTTTTTTTTCAAATTTTCTCTTTTTGGTTCAACACCTTTCATGGCAGATTAAAAACACATTTCTGTGTGGACGTTCCAGAAAAACGAAGAACACAGGCACAAAATATGTACATTTCCTGTTTCCAAGGTCACTCAACTTTGGCAGACATTTTCTTGCTAACTTTTACCTCTCATACCAGTCTACCCCTGCCTCCTTCAATCGCAAATATCTTGACTTCTATTTCCGATAGATTGGTATTTTTTTTCGCCAAATGCAAGACAAATGAAGATGATATTGATAACACTATTTGCTCCAAAATTGACGAACGCCTGATTCCACCGTGTCGCGACACATGATGTTGATAAACATTCAATAAACGTTAGCTTTGCTCACACGAGAAATGTTAAATGAGACTGAGAGGAAACCCCTCCTGTCTCCAAGAATCATTCAATACCAAATTAAAAATTAAATATGAACGACATGAGACTTGTGGCTTCAACATCAGCTCTCATCTATGTTTAAAAAAGAAAAAAAAAAGATTGCATTTATTTTTATCGCGCTCTATCCCATACTTGTATAAGCTCTGAGTGCTTTCCACCAATGACATGATCATTCCGGCAACAGATACTATTTCACAGAAATAAGAAAAACCAATTCAACAACATAAAGAAACACTTTTATAACCATATTTATATTAACTATATTATTATAAACGAAAGGACAGCCGTAAAAAAACCCCCAAAAAACAACAACAGCAGCATATCAAAACTTACTAACCCATCATAACCAAGAATGTTTAAAAATGAGTCTTGAGCAATAACTTAAATTGAAACGTATCAAAATTCGTGATTTCTCTGCCGAGACCCTGAAGCAAAGTGTCCCGGATGCTAGGGCCAAAGAATGAGAAGATGTGCTGGGTAACATTTGCCTATCCTGCCTACAGGAGGGGAGTAGAGGCCACCATTCTCATGTTCTTAGACCATGATGTCATACATGTAGCCTACCTATAAAAACGCAATGGCAGCTGAATTTTCACCCGGCACCAACCTAGTCTATAATCTAGCCCGACATAATGCTTTCAAAATTCACTATCAGAACGTAAAAATAAGAAGATTGCAGCTGAGAAGTTTTAGTTTTTGACTTTGACTGAGGGGCCTTAAAATTATTCAGTGTAAAGCCCGACCTTATACGATGTATTATTATTTAGTAGCTTATTATTCATTCTACCAATGCACTCTAATGCTGTTTAACTTTCCTCGGTTTTTTTTTTACACCCAACACCAACGACTACATAACACATCAAACTAATACAATTTGCGGTTAAATATATACTTTGTAATTGGGTATAGTTACAAACTGGTGTGATAACAATCTCCTTTTATTAAATAAGCTAAGATAAATACGTCTTTACTGGCCAGCTCCTGGCACATTTGTTTGGTGTTTCAAACACGCACACACACACACACATGTAAGTATAGTATAGAGTTGAAAAAGATCAATTGGTCGCTTTTAAGGACAAGCGGGCTAACCCAGATTTCGGGTGTTTCCATAAATCTTGACCTGCACCAAAAGTTGGCAGTGCTCTACATTATATTATAGGAGAAGTTTTTGTTTGTTTTTGTAAAGTGTTTTACGGCGCTCGCAACTGCATAAGGTCATATGAGCGCGCGGGACACACCTAATGTTTTCAGTTGGTAGGAAATTTTGAATTATGCCCGGGTGGCGGCCGAAGACTACTCTTTATCGATTTTAAGACCACCAAGGGATCTTTAACGTGCGCAACTCGCACACGGGCCCTCTGAGATTTTTCGCCCTTGTCCGAGAAGGCTAGGGGTAGATCTTTCCTACCAGAGGATCAGGGGTGTGGCTGAAAGACAGCAGTTAGAAGAAGCGAAGGAGAAGCAGTAGAAAGGCTGCAGAAAGAATCAGGAGCCCAGAGGAAGGGGCAAAGGAGGTGAGGGGGTGGGGGCAGAAAGAGGAGACGAAAGCAGACGACAGAACATGGCTAGAGAGCAGGAAATGAGGTGAAAGGAGACAAATTTAGAGAAGAAAATTTTTCGGTCGCTACCCGGATTCGAACCCGGGACCTTTTGAATGAGAGGCCAACACCTTAACCTCTAGGCCACGAGAGCCCCCCCAGGAGAAGTTTGATTTCATTAGTGTGTATATTATTAGTTTGGTATAGAGAAAACTCTCCTTGTCTTTTGGAAACTGAACAAGGGGCAAAAACTTTACCTTTAATTTTCTCAAAACAGTCGGGATAGCCCCCTTGTACTTGAAAGCGACCAGTTGCAATCATAATTCATTAATAAAGAAGAGGAAAGTGAGGTTGTATACTCAAATAAATACATGAATCTTGGACTTGGACTAACCACTGGCGACAATCTAGACATCAATCTGGTGTGACATGTTGCAATATTGCCATCTGTCATTTTCTCCTTCATATTAACATTATTTTCTAATTGTTGTAGTAATTAAGCTTATGTAATTTGAATTCTATGTTTGACTAATTACTGTTGCCATCATCCATGAAGATAGAAGGGGCACTGTATAATAGACAGCTGCGTCAGGTGCCTCCACTTTTCAAGGATTAAAAAAAAAATAATTTATATATATTTTTTTTTGTGAGCTACCGTGTTTGGGTTATGGAATTCCCTGTCCACTCCACAATATTGTCGGTCCTCCTCTTCCTTTGCCTTCCTCTCCTTCTCTTCCCCTGCACAGTTCTCTGAAAAATGGTCATGGGTGGGCCATACGATCTTGTTACATGGCCTAACCAATCCAGTTTTGAATCCTATGAATATGAAGTCTACGGTATAAACATATTAGGCCTCAGTACCTTTGCTGTACAGTACAGCCAAATACAAATTGCCTCAGGGACTATACAATACATGTATCATCTCATCTTATATTATTAGTGAGTAGAACTGGCATCGACTGACAGACAGACATACAGACAGACAGATAGAGAGACAGACAGACAGACAGACTCGTGACTTTGTGGAAAGCCTGCATGCAGCCATTTCATTTCTTTTCCAGAGCAGTGTTCTTTTTCAGACATCGACGGGGACCATGGTCACCTCCCTTTGAACACGTTCAAGAACATTTTCCACAGAGACGAAATGTATCGATCGGAGCTTGATGGATCACATTCGGACACACAGACATTCGCCAAGCCTCTCGTGGACAACTGCACATTGTCTGACCTTGACCTACTTCTGGTTGCCGACGGTACAGCGTCGGAGCTTTATTGGGACCAAGGTCGATTTTTCCGGAATCTTCTCGATATTTTCGACCTGGGAAAGGAAGATGATTTTACAAGGGTGAACGTGTCGATTGTGGCAGCTTGTCCCGAGAACGAAACCTCAACAGTGCCTCTGCACCCTCTCGCCGCCTTTGGGCAGTTCTCCAACAAGACAGATCTCCGAAACGCCAGCTACTTAGGGAACAACAGCTTGCACTGTACGTCTGGGCATGTTCAAGACATTCAAAACGCAGCCTTGAAATTTCTGCGAAACTCCTCCTGCAAGTCTAAGTCCTCACCTTCTTCTGTATCATCATTCTCACGTTCTTCCTTGGTGATAATTTTAATACAGTCGCACAGGGTGCACACAAAGATGATTTCCAGCTCAGAAAAAACGTGGGCCCAGTCTAGAAACGTCAGAATGCTCACCGTTTTCCTCACTCACGACAGTCTGTACAATATCGATCAGGAATGCGCACGGTGCGAGGAGGGGCCACTGTACGGGAAAGTTATCGAAAGCTCCAAGAGGCTTTTCCCGGTTGACCAGGCCATCCCTCTGATCATCTGTCGTGAGTGCTACCCAGGGTGGATATTCCACTCTCTGTCGGGGGCGAAAAGTTCGCCGTTGCTAGCGATCTCTTCTTGTTACAAATTTTTGGATCTCGAAGACAGGAACTGGATGACAGCAAGCCTGGCCTGCATGGAAAAACATATGTCATTTCTAGTGAGCATAGAAAGCAAAGAAGAGCTGGGATTCTTAGAAAATATGATCCGTGGAAACAGCACCCTCGTTCAGAGCGGTGTGAACGTTTTTATAGGATTGAAAAGAAAATTGTCATCGCTACAACGAGAGTTCGAATGGATCAGCACAAATCCTTTGGTATTTCCTTTCTGGAAAGAAGGAGAGCCGTATGGACGCAAAACTAAAGAATGTGCAGTGTGGGAGTTTGCCAAGCCTGCTAAAAGCACAGGTGCTGGTAACGTATCTGAGGGGTGGAGTGGAATAGGTTGTGGTGTTACGGTTCCTAGCATAGCCGTGTGCGAAAGTCAAGCATGGGTGTCCCCCTCGAAGCGCAGAGTCATGACACCCAGCGTAAGCCAGAGAAAAAAGAAGGAAGCTCTTCAAAAGGGCGATATTGTGTTTAACGTTACGTCGGGGATCAAATCTGTAGACGAAGGCTTCTTCTCCTCAAGCACTTTAATGGCAAAATTGACATGGATTGTACAGAAGAAGTCAAAGGAGTTTTATTTTTCTGTTTATCTGAAAAACAAAGAAACGAAATCATTAAAAGCTAGCGACATCAAGCTTTTTAGATGTATAACTGGAGATAAGATTCCTTACTCGTATGTAGCTGACAATATTCCCCAGTGCAAACTCTTTATGGATGATGAAGTAAGTCATAAGAACAATATATATTATTCGGAAAAACTCTTTACCTGCGCGTCGGGACAGAAAGTGCCTATCAATGAACACTGTGACTCCTTTCCCGACTGCCCTGACGGGAGTGACGAGAAAGACACATGTATCAGCTGTAATCACAAGATGTGCCCGAGCGGGGAGTGTCTGCCCTTACACTGGTTCTACGACGATGTCCCAGACTGCACCGAGTGTCAGAGCCACTCGCAAACTAACAGTGACAGCACTGAGAGCGACGTCGACTGCGTCTTCCTGTGCAACAGAACGGCGTGCGTGAGCCGTGCAATGTTGGGAGACGGCTTCGTCGACTGTCAGGGACCTGAAGGTCCACTGGACGAAACAATTGGCTCTCTGGAATCCACGACATGTAGGCCTACTAGTATTAGCTCTAACTCTAGCCTTGATAAATCAGGCATCACTAACTGGGGACCGAAGTGTGTACTCGTGGACGATGTCTACGGAGGGATCCTAGGCTGTAGAAATTTCCAACATCTTCAAGACTGTGAAAAGTTTGTATGCCAAGAGGGCTTCGTCAAATGCCCCAACTCCTACTGTATCCCTCTGCAGTACGTAAACGACCAGAAACGACACTGTCCAATGGGTGAGGACGAAACAGATATGAAATTAAATTGTACGGACCTGTTCAGGTGTTCGATCACCAGCGATGGGGTTTGTCTGCATCCCGACAGTGTCTGCGACGGCAAACGAGACTGTGATACCGGAGACGATGAGCTGAACTGTCACGTGGAATGCCGGGAGGGGTTTCTGTGTGTGGCTGGCACTGTGGTCACGACCGACTATAACAAGAGCATTCCGCTGACAGACTTGGATTTTATTGATAAGGGGACCAGGTATCTGGATCTCAGCGGGGTGGATGTATCTGGCGCTATCGGTACTTTTGTCTGCCAAAACTGGAAGCTCAAGCACTTGAATCTGTCTCAGTGTAATATAAATGGAACAGACTCAAACTTATGCACGAAGTCAGAATGGTTGTTTTTAAGTGTTTTAGATTTAAGTTTCAATCCTATAGACGACGAGACGGTTATGGATGTATTTCAGAGCGTTCCTTTCATACAGTACCTCAACCTATCCAATTGCGAAAAGCTCAAGTCCTTGAAAATCCCAAACATAGAAGAGCTTAAGGAAATAGACTTGTCTTACAGTGGTATAACGCATCTGCAGTTCGCCGGCAATTTCAAATACTTGAACAGTATAAACTTAAGAGGTTCCAAAATATCGGAACTGAAATCAGGAATGTTTCCCAAATGTATTGCCGTCTTAGACCTTCGCGATCTCGAGCTGGAACGAGTCGACCCAGATTCCTTCCAGGATGTGCAGAGAATTGGCTCTCTCTACACGAGCACGTACAAGCTGTGCTGCCCGCAGTACCACGACGGGGGGCGGGGGCTGACGAGGTGCCACTCTCCAAACGACCCCTTCTCCTCCTGCTCCGACTTGATGGAAGGTGTGACCATGAGAGCTCTGATCTGGATCAACGGCTTGTTGGCCCTGGTCGGGAATGTGGTGGTGGTTGTCAACCGTTTGGTGTACAACCGCTGTGCTCTCAGAATGGCGTACGGCCACTTCGTGGTGCACTTAAGCATCTCCGACTTCTTCATGGGGGTTTACCTGTTGGTCATCGCCTCCGCCGACAGCTATTTCCGGGACATCTACTACATGAGCGAGCGCTCCTGGCTCCACAGCGGCCTCTGTAAGTTCGCCGGCTTCCTCTCCACATTGTCTAGCGAGACGTCCATGTTTTTCATCCTTCTCATCACCCTGGACAGATTCCTCGTGATCAAATTTCCCTTCGGGCAGTATCGAATATCCCTCCCATTCGTCCACGTCCTCTCCGTTATGGCATGGGTACTTGGTCTGTTTATTTCCCTGGCCCCGTTCCTGCCCCCGTTCCAGGACTGGCAGATGTACAGCTTCAACGGCGTCTGTATCGGCCTGCCACTAGGGGACAGAACTCTCCTAGGATTCCAGTTCTCGGTGGCCGTTTTTGTGTACCTGAACCTCGGTCTGTTCATCCTCATCGCTGTGGGTCAAGTGGTCATCTTCAGGGCCGTGGGTGAAACAAGACGTGGCGCGGCTCACAAGACCAGCAAGCCCATCGTCAGACGGGCAGAGGACATAGAGGTGGCCAAACGTCTGTTCCTGGTGGCGGCCTCCGACTTCATGTGTTGGTTTCCTGTGGGGGTCATGGGGCTCGTCTCTCTCCTGGGCTACCAGCTGGGCTATCACGCTTACGCCTGGGCGGCTATCCTGGTCATACCGATCAACTCCGCCATCAACCCCATCCTCTACAACGCAGCAAACATCGTGAGCGGCTGCAAAACTGTGTACCAGAAAACCCAAAAGCTGTACTCCACCTACATGTATACAACTGAGGGCTCTCAGCCCAACACCGATGGAAGCCGAGGACAGTAATTTGAGTAATTATATATATAAATGTACAAAGTTATGTACGGATTTAAAGATAGGACTGTCGTATTGCATGTTTTCACCAAATGTATCAAATCATGATCTACAAAATGAAGGCAATAATCAATTACTTGTTACTTTGATTTTTGGTTTATAGATAAAGTGAAAGTATGACTGAAGCCAAAGTCGGATTACCACAAAAGACTTGAGTACGCCTGTAAATTTCAGTGAAAACTTAAACATAGGTGCATAGGCCTAATAATCCTCCTAGATTTATGTGATTTTTTTTAAAGGGGGGTGGGGGGAGATCAAGATCGGTGACTTTTGTTCGGTTCACTTCGCCGTATTCGGCACTAATATAATCGAATAGTATTAGTAATACAAATCATCTACATGTACTCTCCCCCACACCCTCTTTTAAGTCTTTTAGTAAATCTTACATTCCTAACTCTCTACTATAAATCTAATTCTGTTTTTCTGGCCACAGATGGTTATTACAGTGGCTTGCCTCAATTTTTATATTATCATTATTATCATCATTATAATTATAGCTTGTTTGCTTTTATCTGTCCGCTCTAAAAACCCATTCTAGCTCATTTATTAATTTGCCAACGCGCACGTAACTTTGCATAGCCAGTCCAGTAGGTCAGCGATCAAACCATGACATTACTAAACATTTGATTTTTTACCTCCTCTGTCTGAGCCACGTCGAGCGGAGATGCAATTTTCTGAGTTGGTAGGCCAACTAAGCAGCTCTTTCAACTGGGATGTTTATATTTATAGTTGACCTTTCTCACCCTGCACCACGGTATAGGCCACGGACAAACACTTTGCACTTTTCTCTATCCTGGGCTAGTGTTTAAAGTAATTGATCAAAATATCAGGGTTCCCTGGACTCCCTGGACTCCCTGGACTCCCTCCATCCACCTTTTGCGTGGTCTTCCTCTTCCTTTATACTAGCCTGAGAATTTGCTGTTATAGGTTTTCGACTCATTTCGAGACTGGCTCGAGTGACATTCATAACAGGCGGTCGTTTGTTCTCTATTTTTCCACGAAATGCAGATAGGAATCTGCGCCAATACACACGTAGCTGCTCTTATTTCTACATTTCTATGCCTGTCTCTTCTTGTGATGTTAAAGTTAAAAGTTTTGCGGTGACATTTCCTCTCACTTGCATTGATTTTACTTTCATGTCTTGTCGTAGGCCTACATGTACTTAATATCCATGTCTGGCACTGGTAGTATAGTAACAATGCTGGTATAATAAATGTGAAGTGTGCTGACAAAATGAGTTACTTCTCGGATTCAAGCCTTAATGAAATAGATACGTGCTTAATGCTTATTGGTACAGCTTTTATAATTTATAAGTATGAAAAAAAAATAGGCGTGTTATACATAAATAATAGGGCATCAATAGAAAATCTACTAATTTGGCCTGAGTGTTTCAACTGTCCAACATAATATTATTGATTACTCCACATTGACACAATCATTTAGGTTTCCATCATTTAAGAGGCAGGCTTCCATCCTGCCTGACAGGGATACAACATCCCATCAGGAAAGACTCAGATACTTAATAAAAAGTTTCCCCACTCGGGTCTCCTGAGAGCCATGGCAAAGTGCCTAATTGCTACACCACAGACACTGATATATTTGTCACAAAAACAGAACGTGAAAAGCCGAACATACACCAAATTCACACAAATTTAGTCGGAAAGGTAAACAAACACTCGTAACTCAAAAACAGAAAAGGTAAACACTCATTTTGAGGTAGATTGTAAACACATTTAATAGAATTCAGCAGATCATGTTGTTATAGAATAACCATAATAAAAATATGAGCATCTGGACAGAACGATCAGTGAAAGCCCCGCAGAATGTTATCATTGTACATGTATGATGAACGGATCTCTGAGTTATACAGTGGAGCCTGAATAAACTGAACAAAGAATATTTTTTAAAATATAAAATATATATATATATGTAAATGTACATGTATGTATAGAGAAAGAAAGAGAGAGAGAATAATAATAATCTAAAACAGTGGTAAACCAAAAGACAAGAAAACCCCTGAAATTTGTTCCTTTACTTCTATTTGAATTTGAGCAGTCTCTCATAACTCTGAAAACCCGCCCTAACCATGGAAAATTCCACGTACGCAAACTCCACTGTATATATCAGACACATATATACTATACATTATGTGCAAGAGGAAATATTCGAGGTTTGACTTTGGTACGTGAAGTAAAAATCATTTTACCAAGCAGCAGTGCCATCATCAGCAGCCCACTAGATGAGGCATAGGTAGATCTAGACCTTGCTGAAGCTTAAATATTATGAATGGAAATATAAAATATCTTTAAAAAATACTATATAGTATCATCACAGCAAAGCTTCAGTAAAATACAAACCTTCAATAAAATAGAAATCAGGACATATCAATGTCTTATCAATGGCATACAGTACAGTACAAAATGGTAAAGTCTGATAACATTCCTGAACATTTCTTTTTGTTCGTCTTTGTATCTCTGCTACTTCAAAATGAAAAGGTCGTGTTGAATGACAAACTCTATGGTTCTGGTTAGATCCCCCGTTGGAACGCTCTGATCTTGGAGTTTTCAATGGCTCTCCACTCACTTGTCTAGGTCCTATTGGACAAGGATGTTACATTTGGAGGTCCCGCCTCTTAAGTCTTAAATAATCTTACAGTTACAATGTTCAAAAGGGCATCAACCCTATCCGTACGTTGTGTTTTACTATCGTATCCATACGACGTGGGGTACTCTGTGCCATCACTTAACCCTATCCGTACGTCGTGTTTTACTATTGTATCCATACGACGTGGGGAACCCTGTGCCACCACTTAACCCTCTCTGTACGTTGTGTTTTACTATCGTATCCATATGACGTGGGGAACTCTGTGCCACCACTTAACCCTATCCGTACGTCGTGTTTTACTATCGTATCCATACGACGTGGGGAACTCTGTGCCATCACTTAACCCTATCCGTACGTCGTGTTTTACTGTCGTATCCATACGACGTGGGGAACTCTATGCCACCACTTTCCAAAAAGGAAATTTACTTGTTAATCCGATCCGTACGCTTTGCATAGCAGTCTGTCAAAACAATTTTTTGAGAAATTCGGAAAGTTTCAAAGAGATCTTCGTACTAGAAGTATTCTAAAATGTGAAAAATACAACCCCGGGGGTACAAAATAACCACAGGGTGTACGGATAGGGTTAATAAATCTTTACACAGACAATCTTTCTCTCTCAGTAAGAAGGTGACTGTGTAATCATGGCAACTACGTCCAACTTGGGTTCCACTGTAGCCTTTCAAGAATACCCGCAGGGGAAAAAACTAAAAGGCTTGAAAGTCAGCCTTCAACTACCGTCACACAGTAACCAGAAAACGGTAGTATCAAATAAAGATTCCAGTTTTCTGTTGGAAATGCTAATATTATCAGAGAGGGCCAGTTTGCAACAGACACCACTGATCCATAATATCAATAATTCATACAAATTCTGCATATACATGTATACATGTGACTTGGCATGAACATATTGTCTGAAAGACTCAAGTATGATGGTCAAAACTGTGAATTCTCATGTAATTACAAGAAAAATACAACAACAACTGTACAATAAGACAAGGAAATATTTGTCCGACTATAACTTACTATAAGTTAGAACAGTCCTCAGAAAAGTGCATAACTCATGAGGTTACAAGATGTTAGACATGTGTGTGTGTGTGTGTGTGTGGGGGGGGGGGGGGGGGGGGGGGGGGGGAGGAGGAAAATAAATATAAATGCACTCCCTGCTTTAGTTGAACTATCAAATAAACTGCATAAAACTGATGGGACTTTTATTTGCTGTGAATTCCATATTTGCAGTGAACATTGTTCTAAAGAAGAGCTATTCCATGAAAACTCAAACTGCAGTGACACACGCTATGCCGAGACGATGACCTGCAGAAAAATACTCCAAGAAGTGATGAAGCCATTCATTTCTTTTTTTTTTCCTTTGTTTGAGGCAACCTTCCTAAAATAAAAAATTTTAAAGGCTCTTACCACTGTTGAGTATTTTTCTTCAGCAAGTAAGAAGACCTGCTGAAAAAAAAAAAAAATTCTAAGAAGCGATGGAGCTATTCTTTAGTTGTTTTTTAAAGTTAAAGTTAGACTCTAGAGGCAACCTCTCCTTATAAAATTACAGAATTCTTCTTCAGGAGGTCACATTCTTGCATTACATTTGCCATTGCAGTCTGATTTTTCATGGAAATGGCCCAGAAGTGAAAAATTCAGGACAGTCCTACAAAAAGCTAGAGATCTGGAATGTGAGTTATATATAGATGCATCCTTCTTACTATAAGAACACAACATCAAAACAACAGTTAAAAAAGTAATAAAAAAGGATGTTTCATCATAAATAATATTTATATATATTTAAATATATATACATATTAATAATATATTTATTAATACTGTGGGAAAACAATGATGACCCTGATGATATCAAAACATTATAAATGCAAATCAGCTGCACAAAAGATATTAATATTCATGACAATATTTGACTTCTGTATACATATAAAAAAAATATTTTTCCAAAATAGATCTCAGCAGAGAAACTTAAGGCCATAACACCAGGGAAAAAAGCAAGTGCATAAAAATGTCATGAGTAACAACAGTAATATCATTTCATATTATGAATAGTACAATTACTATCCACATCGCCCACATACACAAAAGGCAAACACGTTGATGTCACATATATAGCAGTGCGTTGTACTTTCAGTTTTTAGTAGAGGTTTTACGGCGCTCGCAACAGCAGAAGGTCATATGAGCGCCAGAAGATTCGAGGTGTTACAAGAGAGTAACTAACATAAAAAAGAAGAAGGGGAGATAAAGACGATAGTCGTTTGATAGGAAGAAGCAAACTACACCAGAGCACCCTCAAACCACCCACGTGCGTTGTACAGCAATAGAACAGATCGCACATGAGTGAAGGTGAAACTTAAGTTTTAGTAAGAGTTTTACGGCACTTGTAACACAATAAGGTTATATAAGTGCCAAAGAATAGAGGTCTTACGAGAGAGTAACAGCCACAAAAAAGGAGGACAGATCAGGACGATAGATATTTGATAGGAAAGAAGGAGCAAACCACACAAGAGCACCCGCTAACCACCCACGATGTAGTGTAGGTAAATCTTTGCAAGCGTGGGGCAACCAATCTCCAGGCAGGAGAGAAAATGTTCTACAAAGGGCGACAAAATAATTGTGGCACCACTCAAATTCCAGCCAAAACTTCTAGGAGACAGCTCAAATTGTTGATATACTTTCCCACCGTGGTAACCAAGGTTAACATAAAAAAAAGACTAAAAGAAGCAAAAAAAAAACCTAAAAGAAGCAAAAAAACAAAATCAAAACAAAAAACATAAAAGAGGAAAACAACAACAAAAACTAAGTGAGTAGGCCAACTGCACAAAGATCTCTAGATCTAGCCTTTTCCAAGTGTAAGAACACTAGCCTCCCTCTCAACAAGCATACACCAACGACATCAAGATAGAGAGCAAAAATAAGCTCACTCACTCACTGACCCATCTTCATCCTCATTTCAACCCGCAGGGAAAAAAAAAAGGGTAGACTAAGGTCTGGAAAGTGGGTGGTTGGCAGGTGCTCTGGTGTGGTTTGTTCCTTCTTTCCTATTAAACATCTATCGTCCTTACCTTTCCTACTTCTTTTCGGTGTTTGCTCTCCTTTTGTAACACCTCTAATCTTCAGCACTTATATGACCTTATTGTATTGCAAGTGCCGTAAAGCTCGTAAAAAAAATTTTTTTAATTCTGGAAAACAAGATGATGAATGTCCCCGAGATGCAAGGACCGAGAAAAGTGAAAGCCATCAGTAGGACAAGATGAAATATGACATGATCAGAAATAAGAAGATCAGGAACACGGTATACACAGTGCACATTGGCAAAACAACACAAACTACAGTTGAATTGTGGCACGGCCAGCCAGACTTTTCTCCTTGGAATAGAGGGGTGTGTGTGCGTGTGTCACAAAAGGTACCATTTTGCCGCAATACGACTGTGATGCGACTCGCAACCTTAAAAAACAAACAAGTTCGATTTTTAGGTATTTACCAAATTTTGTCAAATTCTGTACGTCATGTGCTAGAGTCTATACACTTAGTTTTAGTAGAGGTTTTACGGCGCTCGCAACCGCAGAAGGTCATAAGAGCGCCAGAAGATTAGAGGTGTTCCAAGAGAGTAACAAACATAAAAAAGAAGAAGGAAAGATAAAGACAATAGTTGTTTGATAGGAAAGAAGAAGCAAACCACACCAGAGCACCTGCCAACCACCCACATCTTGTATACACGTATACAAAGGCTTTAAGTGACTGGAACCCACAAAGTAAAACATCAAGGGGAAGACCACGTGGAACCTGGAGAAGAGTCACACAAGCTGATGTACAGAAAAGTGGGAAGACGTGGAATAACACCAAGTGTCTAGCCCAGATAGAAGGGAAAGGTGGAAAGTGTTTGTTCGTGGCCTATATCCTGATCCAGGGTGAGAAAGGCAATGATGATGAATCTGATGATGACAGGCTTTCAGTAGAATGCAAACTCACGATAGTTAAATTCAAACCATTAAATAAAATGTAAACAGCAGAAACGCAGGGAAAGGTCCAGCAAACAACCACAAAAAGTCTGAGAGTTGAATACAAGTCGCTGTAAATGTGATTACAGATCAAAATGTGGATATCAAAGTCTAAGTTTGCGACAAAAGAACATAAAAAAGTCTTTCACGGAAGAAACAGTTCTACGAAAAACGAGAATACAAAGAAGTAAGACCCAAAATAGACAAACCACTATCCTTAAAATATTATCACTGTTCAGGAAATCAAAAGCAGGGCGCCTTGGTAGACGGACACCAGCTCTGCCTCGACCTCTGCGCAGTGAGAAATTTGTCTTTTGCCTGGTCGCATTTGGCAATCGAAGCCGACATTTGTACAGTGGTGTTACAATTGCCAGACGATCGCTGTATGTCTTAGGGTACTTCGTTTTGAGAGAACTGGTCAGTTCTGTGAAGGAAACACAAACCAAAAGAACATTAGCGCCCGCTATATAAGCTACATACAACCAACTGAAGATTGGGCTTTTGTGCTCGCGCTCACAACCGGAAAGTTGAGGGTTTGAATCCTCTCATGTCAAGAGACCAACGTTGTGTGCGTAGGAAAGGCAGTGTGTGTCAGCAGCATCACACAATAAAAAGACACAGGGTGACGACAAGCAATAGTAAGTTATACGTAAACTTACACATATATATATGGCTTTAGGCAGAACACATGTGGCTTTAAGCAGAACACATATGGTACTCATGATTAAATTCAAACCAATGAAAAAAACCCAAAAAATTGCAAACAAAAACATCCAGGAAAAGATCCTACGGGCAAGTAAAAATTGTCTGAGAATACAAATCCCTGGAAATGTGCTTGCAGATCAAAATGCAAACATGTAAGTCAAGTGTGCGACAAAGGAAGGTAAAAAAGCTTTTCACGGCTGAAAAAACACCAAGAGAGAAATAAAAATAGAACAAGCAAAGACAGGAACCAAACTCAACACTACACCCATAATACTGTCATCAATCAAGAAAGGAAAATCTGGCGCTCTTCTCAATCGAAGAGCATCTCTTTGTCTGCCTCTGTGTGGCGAGAAAGTTGTCATTTGTCTGGTCGCATTAGGCAATCTAAGCCGACATTTGTACAGTGGGTTGACTATGGCCAGACGGTCACTGTATGTCTTAGGGTACTTCGTTTTGAGAGAACTGGTCAGTTCTGTGAAGGAAACACAAACCAAAAGAACATTAGCGCCCGCTATATAAGCTACATACAACCAACTGAAGATTGGGCTGCTGTGCTCGCGCTCACAACCGGAAAGTTGAGGGTTTGAATCGCGTCATGGGCCTGACATTGTGTGCTTGGGAAAGGCAGTGTCACACAACAAAAAGACACAGGGTGACAAAAAGCTATAGCAAGATATTATATATATATATACACGTACACATATAAGGCTTTAGGCAGAACACATACGGTACTCATGATTCAATTCGAACCAATAAAAAAAAATATGCAAACAACAAAAAGAACCAGGAAAAGATCCTATGAGAAAGTAAAAACCGCCTGAGAATACAAATCCCTGCAAATGTGATTGCAGATCAAAATGCAAACTAACACCTAAGTCAAGTGTGCAACAAATGAAGGTAAAAAAACTTTTCACGGGTGAAAAATCATCATCAAGAGAGAAATAAAAATACAGAAAGTAAAGATACAAACAAAACTAAACACTAAGCCCATAATGCTGTCATCAAACAAGAAAGCAAAATCTGGCGGTCTTCTCAACGGGACAGCAACTCTCCGTACACCTCTGTGTGGCGAGAAATTTGTCTCTCGTCTGGTCGCATTAGGCAATCTAAGCTGACATTTGTACAGTGGTGTGATTATTGCCAGTCGATCACTGTATTTCTGAGGGTACTTCATTTTGAGAGCACTAGTCAGTTCTGAGGAGGAAGAAAAAACAGGCAAACCAAAAGAACATTAGTACACACTATATATAACCCACAGCCAACAGAAGATTAGTCCGTCGTGCTCGCAACCCAAAGATTGTGGGTTTGAATCCCGTCAAGGGCCTGACGTTGTGTGCTTGGGAAAGGCAGTGGCAGCAGCACCACACAACAAAAAGATACAGGGTGACAACAAGCAACAGTAAGATATACAGTAGACCACGGCTATAGCGGGACATTTTGTTCCAGAAGAAAAATCCCGCTGTAAGCGAGTTCCCGCTATAGGAATGCAAAGGGGAAATTACCACAAATTTTCTTAAAATCCACACAAATACCTCCCTTCCATATCAATAGAATTTGTGCTTTTGATTAGTCTTTCATTTCTTGTCAACGCCGTTGATCATCTCGGCTTTCAATTCCAGAGAGAAGCATTTCCTTTTGTTTCTGTTGGAAGCCATCTTTTCCTCTGTCTTGTTGTTTGTGCTGTCTGTCGTACCGGAAGGACAATTGTAGAACTAACGAAGTGGATGCGTGCGTAAGCCTATGAGCACCAACGATCTCAATTCAATGAATCAGGAATCACCCGCTACACACTCTCCTCTTCTTTTACTTTTAGCCCTAGCCTAGGCCTAGGGCTATGGCCTATACACTCTCATACTGAGCCTCTAAGCTACGGCACATCACTTTTGGAGTGGCTCGCGTAACGCATCTCTCCTCACCAGCTCTCTCTGCCTCCTGCCCCACCTCACCCATCACTGGACTGGCCATTCACAATCCCGCACCGCTGACTGCCTGTTTGGATCCCGCCTACAGCCCCCCCAACCCCCTTCCCCTCGGCTGGAGCTCGCTCCATCTCACACGCTGTATCCGAGTTTGGCCCTTTCCTTGCCCCAATAAACCCGAGCACAGGTAATTGAGTTTAAATAGAGAAAAAAAAAGGGGGATTCCAGTAAGATCCCGCAGTAGTTGTTTTCTACTGTATATATATACACTTACAGATATGGCTTTAGGCAGAACACATATGGTACTCATGATTCAATTCGAAACAATGAAAAAAAAAATGCCAACAACAAAAACATCCAGGAAAAGGTCCCATGAGCAAGCAAAAACCTACTAAGAATACAAATTTCCCGCCAATGTTTTTTGTTTTTGTAAAGTGTTTTACGGCGCTCGCAACTGCATAGGTCATATGAGCGCGCGGGACACACCTAATATTTTCAGTTGGTAGGAAATTTTTGAATTTTGCCCGGGTGGCGGCCGAAGCCTACTCTTATCGATTTTAGACCACCAAGGGATCTTTAACGTGCGCAACTTGCACACGAGCCCTCCGAGATTTTTCGCCCTTGTCCGAGAAGGCTAGGTGTAGATCTTTTCTACCAGAAGATCAGGGGTGTGGCAGAAAGACAGCAGTAAGGAGGAGCCAAGGAGTAGCAGTAGAAAGGCTGCAGAAAGAGTCAGGAGCCCAGAGGAGGGAGGGGCAAAGGAGGTGAGGGGGTGGGGGCAGAAAGTGGAAATGAAAGCAGACAACAGAACATTGCTAGAGAGAAGGAAAGGAGGTGAAAGGAGACAATTTTAGAGAAGAAAATTTTTCGGTCGCTACCCGGATTCGAACCCGGGACCTTTGAATGAGAGGCCAACACCTTAACCTCTAGGTCACGAGAGCCCCCTCCCGCCAATGTGATTGCAGAACAAAATGCTGACTCTATTACATAAGTGCATGACAAACAAACCTAAATAAGCCCCTCGTGCCAGCAAAAATAGCAAAAACAATGAAAGTGTAAATAAAATACACAGAGATAAAACTAATCACTATTCTAACATTACTGTCATCATTCATGAAATCAAAAGCAGGCTCTTGTCTCAATCGGACAAAAGCGCTGCGCTGTGAGAAATATGTCTGTTGCCAGGTCGCATTTGGCAATCTAATAAGCTGGTGTTCGAACACCGGTTTTATTATCGCCTGTCGATCTCTGTATAGTTTAGGATACTTCATTTTGAGAACACTGGTCAATTCTGTGAAATAAAAAAAAAAAAGAAAAAAAAAAAAAAAAAAGAAGATATTTAACAAAGCAAAAGAACCAAAGTACCAAGTATAACCTACAACGGAACATTGGGCTGTTCCAATCCTAACCTAAATGTTGTGGGTTCAAACCCCATTGGGGGCTTGGTGTGTTCACGGAAAAGGCGATTTACACAAATTTTCCTCTTCAGCCAGGTGTGAAAGGGCACCCTGCTATAGACAGCAAATGATCTTATGAGTCTGCAATTGTTTGAAAGCACTTACTCAGCTGCTTGCACTGTATGCTTCCCGAGAATGTTTCAGAGTGTTACAGGGCAGCTATGGTCTTAATCTAAACTGATAAGTGTATAGAGATTGCTACTGAGCTGGTAAATGCCAACACCCCCTGCTATCTACTATTGTGGGACAATTTGCACAAGAAGAAGCCCCCCCCCCCAAACCAAATGCTCTTTATCATCGATGAAAATGGTGTAGGTTCTATGCCCCTATTGACAATTGTCAGTTTGAAGGACCGAGCCAAATGGGAAATTGGTGTATACATTATTATGTGAGGCAGCATGGTGAAATCAGACGTTCGTCAAAATAATTCAGTCAAAGAAACAAGCATTTTTCTGGCCTTTAGGCAAAATTTTCATCAAATTTTCTTTTTTGTTTTTTGGCCTCAATATTTTTTTATGACCGCTTAAAAACATATGTGTAAAAAAAAAAAAAATCGTTGATCAAAGGCACAAAAAATGTAAATTTTGCAGTTTCCAAGCTTTGGAAGCTACCAAACTTTGACACTCATTTCCTCGCTTATTTTACATCTTGACACCAAGTGACCCCCACCTCATTCAGTCGCAAATATCTCCCCTTCTGTTCAAGACAAAATGGGTATTTCATTTTCACCAAAAGCAAGACATAATATGAAAGTTGAAAACGCTTTAAGATGATACCAATAACTCCATATATGCCTAAAAATCGACGAGCGCCTGTGTGGCACGATGTGGGGGAATCAAGCGGTTGTCACTTTTTGGGCATATGGGGTTATTTGTATCACCTTAAAGCCTGTTCATATGCCTTGCTTTTGGTGGTACAAATATCCATCTATGTTAAACAGAAGTTGAGATATTTGCAATTGAAGGAGGTGAGGGTCATCTGGTCTCAGAGGTAAAATTAGCGAGAAAATGGCTGCCAAAGTTTGCTAACTTCCACAGCATGAGAGTCCTTGAGAACTAAAAATTTACATTTTTTTATGCCTTTAATCAATGTTTTTCAGTAAAATCCACACAGAAATGTGTTTTTGAATGAACGTAAAAGGTGTTGAGTCAATAAAAGAAAATTGGAACAAAACTGACAGACAGCCAGAAAAACACCAGTTTCTTTGATTTCAATATTTTGAGGAGCGCATGATCTTACCACGCTGCCTCCCATTTATCATCATCATTATTATCATTACCTTTCTCAAACACACAGTGGCTGATGGTGGCGCGGCACATGGGGCAAGGGGTGGTCGCCGACCTTACGTGTAGCTGCAGCCGCCCCAGACAGACTTTACAGAAGGTGTGCGTGCAGGGCACCACCTTGTGCGGGTCGATCAAAATCTCGTAACATATGGCGCACAGATCGTTGTCATCCAGCTCCGGTTCCTCCCTTTCCGAATCATCCTCAGCGGCGGTGGCGTCGGTCTGCTCGCTCTTCGTCCTAGCACACCGAGTTTTCCTTTTCTCAGGTTTCCTTCTAAGCAGAAGACTGCCGTCCATCGCCAAATCTGAAACACAATAATACTGCTGCATCAGAACTTTAGACATATAAATATGAGTCATTCTTCTAACAGATCTGTTGAATTAAAAGCTTTGCAACAGCCCTGTAATAGTTGTCCCTTCAGGGCAGTGCTGCTGACTGAAGTTGTCTTTAGGCCATTCCCAAAAGGGGGATAAAAACATGTTCTTACGCAGGCGCAGTAAAATTGTACATGGGCAGACTTCTCAATGTCATGTACTTGATGCACATACACTGTACCGGAACAACATAAGGACATAAGGGGAACTGTTGCTTTTTCTTTCCTCATCCTCACTATCTTCATTTCCTCTACTTCTTTTCTACGTTTATTGCTCTTTTGTGGACTGTTATTTCCGGGGTGCCTTGATAGTCGAGGCAGACTTTGTGCTGTTGAGGCTAGAGGGGTGAGCAGAGAGAGTCTGATTCCCCGTTTGGACTTCCTTGTCGACATCCACCCCTTGGCGCTCATTTGACCTTCTGCAGTTGCGAGCGCCTCAAAAACCTTACAACAAAAAAAGCCCTGCTGTATGCATAAAAATCAATCTTTTTGCTTTTTTTAAACTGCGTGAACTTTTCTTAGGTTTTCTAAAATGAGTTGGATAAGTGGCAGCAAAACTGAATAGACACAGTGATACTAGAACTGGAATGTTGGCACCTTTCTTTCTTTATTAAAATAGTTTTAATGATATCAAAAATACATAAACGGAAAAAAACAAACCTGCAGTACTATGCTCCTCTTCCAAAGAAAGACGCCTTTTTCGTTTCTTCTTTTTTCTGTCTTTGCGAGAGCACAGGTCCTCATGAGCAAGAGGTTGAACCGGAAGAAATGTGTTTGTCCTTGGAGGAAAAAAATGAAAAGAATGTGTAAGCAAGTTATACAAAAAGATGGAATCACTACCTTCATGTTGAGATTTTAGTTTCCGTCTTTTAAAAACATGAAAACATGCTACTTGTTGTATTGCTCACTTAAGAGTTTACAAAAATTAATAAGATGCATGAAAAAAAAAGTTGTTGGCCGATGCCACAGGAAATAATAGTTTGGTATGACAGAATACAATTTACTCTCACTTCTCTACCCAAAATAAAATTACAATCAAAGGCTTTTCACAACAGGCTATAAAAAAGTGAACATAATAAACATATAGAACATATGGGCATCACTAAATATAACTTAACCGTGTTGCAAGTACTGTAAAACTCTTACTGAAGGCAGAATATCTTTCAGATTTATCAACCTATATATTCCAAAGATTCCATCGAACCAATCTTATACGGGTGCGAAGCATGGACAATCAACAGACAGTTGGAAAGAACAATTGAGGCGACATAGTTGTGGTTCATAAGATGCATGCTGCGTATCCCATGGACAGCTAGAAAAACAAACGAAGAAGTCTTGGTTGAAGCAAATTGCAGACGACAGCTAATGACAAATATACGAAAGCGACAGGCAAAGTGCTTTGGACACACATTACGGAAAGAAATTGTAACAGTAGCTAAGTTTGATGAAAAGAGAAGCAGAGGCAGACAGATCGAAAAAGATACTGGACAGGTTGACAACATGGCTGGGAACAGCAAGAACGACAAACACCATCGTTGCAACGCAAGACAGAGTGAAGTGGAGGTCCATGATCACTCACGCCAGTCGGCAAGGCACCAGATGATGATGATGGTATTCAAAAGACCTGACCTCATGCCACCACTCGCACCTCTCATGAGGGCAATATGGACAGGCTGTCGTAGGGATCTACAACTTTTGGAAATGAGACTCAAGGCCCAAACCTCCGAGTTAACAATTTTAGGGAAAGATGACTTCGGTTGAAAGTGCTAGAGATTCGAAAAGTTACTAAGGAGTAACAGACACAAAGAAAGTATGAGAGAAAAGGATGATAGGTGTTTGATAAATAAAAAGGGAGCAGACCACATTAATGCATCCGCCAACCACCCACTGGAAAATGGCAGCACCTTAACACTTTGCAGTCACACAGCCAGCAGTACAAAATACCCCATCTGGTCAACCATCCAGGTGAGTAGTCACTGCAACGGACTTCTCGGGCCAGGCGCAGTTGACCAGAACGGATAATCTTCACAGGCACATTATTGCACCAAGTGACCTCAAAGTGTTTAATACGTGATAACATATGAGACAAAACATGATATCAATCACATTGATTAGTTGTAGTCTTCCTCAATCTATGACTTGATGGCTAAACCATGGGGTGTCACTCTTCACAGAAAGGGATTATCATGACTACCAATCAGCCTATGTGCGTTTTAGTAATCAACAGATTTACAAATAGTAATCTGGCTAATAAATTTGTATTATTATGGCTATGTATTGTCTTTTTCTTCTTCCAGGAATGTAATGTAAAAGTATTATGAACTGCCGAAAAAGGCTCTCATCAAGTTTGAAGAAAAGGGCATATCTATGAGACAGGGGGAAGAGAGAGAGGGGGAAGAGCGAGAGAGAGAGAGAGAGAGAGAGAGAGAGAGAGAGAGAGAGAGAGAGAGAGAGAGAGAGAGAGAGAGAGAGAGAGAGAGAGAGAGACAGAGTAAGACTGTCCCAATGTCATGGAGTGAACTGCAAGGACATTGTGATGTGGACAGACCGCAAGAGTCAAGGACACAGGTGCGGCAGATTAACGATCTAGCCAAGTCCACTTACCCAAACGTATTGTGCGTTGCAGCCTGAGTCTTCCTCTTGGAATGTGAGGGCCTACGAACAGACTCCTCCTGTGGTAAATTGCCAATGGGCCGATATATATTTAGAAGATGTTGGCACTCTGGATCAAGTTCAAGTAGTTCAACTAAACCTTCACTGGTTTGTCTTGACTTATTGGAACTTGATGCAGCCTCACCGTGGCCACGAACTTCAACTGTTTTGTGACCCGAGTTACATTTTTTCCTCTTTTCTTTTTTTAACCTACGGTACCCCTTCCTGGACGGTACACAGCTGTCCTGTGGTAAACGATGAGGATGTGAAGTGTCCATTGTCCCTTTGAGTCAAAAATTTTGCAGCCTGGAATTCTCAACATTCAACATGCAGGTCGAAGTTTACAGCAGGCTGAAAGTAAACAGAGAGACATCATTGATGGTCACAACCAAAAGTGCATAGAGTAGGCATGCCTCAAATTAGTACTGTTAAAATCGTCCAAGACAGCCACCCATCGTCGAGGAGAAAAGCGGTTGCTTTAAACATGTGGAGCACTTGAACAGGAGTGTGTTTCATAATGTGGAATAAAAATGCTAAGGAGGAAGCAGGAAGTGTTCCTTTGTCCAGGTGATTGTCTTGGACAGGTTGCAGTTAGAGCAATTCTGACTGTATTTAACTGTATCCCCCCCCCCCCACTTTCCCTAATCTATTATATAATACAAAGAAGCAATCACAGTCAGCTTCTGTACAATGAGGAAAAATTTCCTTCTGGGAAGGTAAAATATCACCTGATCTTATATTTTATTCAGTTCATTCATCATATATCAGATTTATCAGAGATGACCAGCCACTTGCTGACTGAGCAGCATGGTTGAAAACAGAGAGTTTCTAAAAAATTATTTTATCAGCACAGAGGGTCGACGTTCATATTGTCACTATCGTGATGATGTGAAAGGAAGAGAAACCGCCTGAACCAAACCAAAAACCACTTCATGGTCCAGTCTAGCAAGCACTTTTTGTGCATGTTTGAAGGAAGTGGAGTAGAGGATACCTATGCAGACAATGAGCTCGTCAATCTTTTTATCTTTATAGCCAGTGCTCCCTTTGCCATCTCTAAGAGGCAAAAATTTTTGATCCACCCGCCTATTTTACGTGTGTTTCCAAACCGAGCATAAAATAACACAATGCGTTCCATTGAACTCCGAACGTTCGGAGAAATAGTGCCGATCTTTATTTCTCCGAACGGTTTCCGGCTTCCGGTCTCGTGATTTTTTGCCTATTTATTGCGAGAGTTCGGCGCCAACTTTCATTCTGCCTCTGGTCTGGGAAGGAACACCGCATGGCAAGCCCGCCTACAGACAACCTTCAGTAACACCCACCACACACCCACCACCATCATGCACATGTACACACACTAACTAAACATGACCAGTGGGCAACTTTTGAACGTATGACGAGCTGAGCTGTGGATGGAGAGACAGTGTGAGTGAAAGAGCGGGTGAAAGGAAGAATGTGCGAGTGTATCCACAGGTGACAGCAACTACAAGACGACACCGACCCCCCCCCCCCCTCCTGGCCTGGTCCACAGCTCACGAACGAAAGGAATGCAGCTCAGGCAGTGTTTTGCCTAGATATTGTTGTCCATGGTTCGCAGGGTGCAAGGGAATGAGTGAGGTTTTCTTTGTGTGTGTCTGGAGGGAGGGGGTGGGGTGTGAAAGTCATACGGACGGGGATGAGCCGCGGGAGAGAACACGGAAATTGAATGAATGAGTGAAACTGAAAGAGATGAACGACTCTTGAGCCCTGGAGTGAATGGATCCTGTGTTTCTATTTTTGTATACTTTGAACTGTTACTGAATAAAGGCTGAAATAAAGCCCGAAAAACAAACACACACACGCTCCTCACTCTCCACTTACTACTACACACAGACACACTCACACACGCACATACATACATACATACACACACACAGGGGCAAATTTTGGGTCTATATATCTATTTCAATTTTCAAGAGCAATTCTAGAGATTTTTAGATGAGTGTAAAAACGTGAAAAAGAAAGGTTTCACAACAGAAAGAAATCAAAATTAGAACAGCCCACAAACAACAACAAACATTAACAAATAAGGGCGTGTGTCCACCTGTCCGAAGAAGATTGGCTGTTTTAACATTACATGTAAATTGTGGAATCACACACATTAAGGGGCTTGCCAGTGTCAGTACATTGGTCGCAGCAGTGACAAACGCAGATATGCCAGTTCTATGTGTCGTTATCAATAACCCTCCGTAGATCTAGATCTAGATCTAGACAGCACACGAGTGAACACAACACATTACGTTTAAGAGCAGCACTTTTCATAGGCAACACGTCATATCTGTAGCGAAAAACTGTTTGGAATTGTAGCATTTCTTTATATAAATATTTACTGCGGACATTTTTTTGGACCGATTGAACCATATTGTATACGAACAATCTTTGGTAGGCCTATACTATATTTATAGATCTATATATAATATCCGAAATTTGCGGGAAAGGATGATATTTCACAGTGTTCGGAGAAATAGTGCCCAGCTTTATTTTCCCGAACGTTCGGAGAAATAGTGCCCAGCTTTATTTTCCCGAACGTTCGGAGAAATAGTGCCGGCCTTATTTTTATTTGTCCATCCCTCTATAAACCAGAGTAACCTTGAGTGCCTTGACGGCAACAGTGTGTATATCTTTGTCTCCTCTGTCCACAGCCCTATCTACCATGTGGGGCCTTTGTTCTTGCAAAAATGAGGAGAGCTATGAATATTCATTATGATACTACGAAATCTAGAATCTAAATAGATGCTCTTAAACCGGAGCTTATTTGTTGTCGTTTAAAGTTTTATATAAAAAAACAAAAATTAACCCAGCCCATCATCAAAAGAGTTGTTGACAACTTTGATTCTGAAATACAGAAATTCTGCTCACCCAGATCGTCTTTTACTCTCCACAGGACAGAAGCTGATCCCATCACAAAATGTCACACTTTAAAAAGTATGAACTGTTTTGTTAATCTCCTTTAAAACCAGATTTAGCCTTTACTTTAGTATTCACCAGTATTTTGGCCACAAAACGTAATCAACTTATCAGACTTATGGGAGGATTATAGGTATATATAATGTGTGTGACTAAACTCAGAAACTGGAACACATGGTGGCCATGGGTGACAAAACTGAAACCCGTGACTGATGACAATGACATGCCCCCATGCCTTTATTTGGGCCTAGAAATACTAGAATCTAAGAACCTAGGCCCTACTCTTGACAGTTCATCAGACCACTTTAGACTTTGTGTCTAGCAAGTAAATTCAATTTTAACATAACATAATATTAAATTAGATTCAAACAAATGTCATATAATCTGGATGTCTTTGCTGACATGCGTCACAATCAATCACATCGTCACAAAGTTACAAATAATAATTTCATCATACCATGCCGTCCACGCCATCGCCTCAAGGCAGTCAAGGTCCTTCCCTTGTACCTGTACAGACGCAAGTAAATAAAATCACAGAAAATCTCTCCAATGCTTATAATTTCTGTTGTTTCTAAACTATTTGTATTTCCGAAGTAATAAGGCACTTCATAATAAAAAATTTCTTTTTCAATTAAGAATTTGATAAAGATTTAAAAGGCTAGCTCTAGATCAAGTTAAATTAATGAAATTAACTTTCCACGTGCCTGACCTGACCTACATAAACAATAACAATAACAAAGAAACACATACCAAACCTCTCACAATGGAAGTCTGTGCAGCTCCGACTTCGAGGGAAACCAATTTTAATTAAACAATGTCACTAAAACGTAAAAAAACCCAACAAAAATACAAAAACTATTTGGAGACGTGGTCATTCACGCACGCCAAACTTACACTGACTCACAGAGTGAAGTTGACCAACACTTGTCGAAGACGCCGAGTCGATAGTCAATCGATGAAACGGGGCCAAAGGTTGCGTGGTACGATAGCCAATAATAGCGATTAGTCTTTTTGTTGTTGCCTGGTTGGTCCAGTCGTTACGAGGTTGCCAGTTCCATTTAGATCTACGTGCTATAAACTTGAACCGAGTGGTATTCTTGGGATCCCGTGCATACATGATACTGCACTAGATCTATATAAAATAAATGTTTTCGTGCGATCTATAATGCAAAATCATTAGTTTGCTCATTTTTGAAGAAATGGTGTATATCTCTTACCCCTACCCCATTTGTGCTACCACAAATGATCTATGAACAAATTCTTCTTTTTTCTGAATGAAACCTAAACTTGGAGAACAGTTGAAAAATTGTAAATTCTTTTTGGATCTAATCTAAACAAACGAACCGATGATACACATTGAGCTTAGAGGTTCCAACGTCCCTAATAAAGAACTATTTTGAGTATGTCAGTCAAGCTGGCAGCAGGCAATCCTGTGATTTTTCCAGAAAATCTATAAAAACCTGTCATTGAATGGCGGGATCCGCGAACTGCGCACTGTGCACTTCCAAAGTGAAAGTAGGTTTTGGTGGCAAACGACAGAAGTTATCCCTACTTTTTAAACTCTCTTGTTTACCGGTTTCAGGTATTTAAGCAAACGTATAGAATAGTGTTGCCCGATTGAAATGGAATGAATACACTTGCAGAGACAATAAGGATGCATGCAGGGTCGTTAGGCCTGACCAGTGCCAGAGGCAGCTCCTTGTTGTGACCCTAGAGGAGTGGAGTGGCTAGATCTAGAATCTAGATCTAGATCTAGAAATCTAGATCTAGATCTAGTCTAGTCAGTGAAGTTGTACGTTTGTTGGTTGACTAGATCTAGATTTAGATCTAGATTCTATATCTACTAGATCTAGATTCTAGATCTAGATTAGATCTAAAGTCTTAGTCTTAGTGATGTAATATGGCATTCCTGATTCGGGTTCGTGGTCACGGGAGATCTTGCCTATAGGCACTTTTCGGAAGAAGTGGTCCCAGCCTAACTCCATAGAAATGGGCGGGCGCTTTTTCGGTAGTTCCCACCCCTCAATAGTTATTGCCGGTTTTGGCCCCAACAAGAGTGGGGGGAAGGTTCTTCAGGGGGGGCTGGCATGCCCCCCTGAATTAAACCATAATTTGATGTTTTGCAGTTGTTAGGTTTGATATATCTTAGCTCGTCTCGCATCAAACATCAAATTAACCCTGACTAGATCTAGATCTATAATCTAGATCTAGATCTAGATCTAATCTAGATATATAGATCTAGATCTAGATCTAGAAGCGCCCAGCGTTTCACCGGAAGTAACCCGCCAAAAAATGCCCTGCCGCCACGGCCGATCGTTTGTAAACATGGGGATCAGCTGAGGTACGGGAGATGTATACCTGCTACAGAAAAATGACCATTTACGGCTCAACAGATGATAAAAGGCATATATATATATATAACATATATAAAACCATAGATTCTATATTTCTTTAAATCAAAGCTGATAGAATATGAGCCTATTTAGAGCCATTCAAAAATGATACGCTATCAAATAAATATACAAACAAAGCGCAAAACGCGATGATAAACTCAACAATTAGAGTACATGATCAGCACGGCGGAACAAGTGAATATAGCGTGTAGTCGCTCAGCTGGTCCGCGTCACTTTATCGATTGATATCTTGGCCAAGAGACACTCTACGAGGTCAAGAATTTAATTGCAAAGTAGTCATTGGTCACTATTTTTATAACTTTGTCCTGTAATTTACTACATCATTTTCCTTATGTATTATATATAAGAAATACTGGAATTTTCCATTGAAAAGGGTCAGCATATATAGCCCTTTATATAGGGCCTGCGCGCTTCCCGCTCGAAGTAGGTCAGCCCTATATATATGGGCCTGCGCGCTTCCAGGGTTAAGGGGGGTGGGAACTACAGAAAAAGCGCCTAGAACTAGAAATTTATAAATCTAGATCTAGGCCTATTGTAGAATCTACACCGGAAACAAAAAAACGAAAGTCGTGGGGGGTTCAGGGGATGGCAGCCCCCTGCAAGAAGGGGGGGGGGGGGGGACAAAAGTAATGGCTTGTGACAGTTTTTATTGCCAACATTGTTCTCAGCACTCTGAAAACTTTAAATTTGTGCCGGGAAATAGTCTAAAATGGGCTTGGACCTATTATTCTATAAATTTCCGACTCAGTCAGCTTAAATTTTACTCGGCTTCCGATTTTGTGGACAGTGGAGTCCACTTATAACGAGTCCTGAAACAACGAGAAGTCTGTTATAAAGACACTGGTCTAAAACCCCGTTTTTTTTCCTTCTTTATCTTTGTAAATAAAATACTGCTATTGCGCAATCAGACCGTCACGCGAGTCGTTTATAACGGAATATTGCTGCTGCTGTGCACAACGCACAGACCAATTAAACCTATAAAACCTTGCCAGTTGAGAAAGTTGTCGGTGATCCAGCGAAACAAGGAATGGGAGAGCCCACGCGAACCAACAATGAAGGTCGGAGCGAATGAGTGGGGAGGGTGTGGCATGCGCAGACACAAGCAGAACGCATCATCACGTGATAGGCCAGCCCAGTCTAGATTATCTAGGCATACCGTGCCTCTCACTTCTCTGATGCGGGATGGAGAGGTCACAATGCTGTGATAGATGGAGCGAATGTATGACGTGCGCAAGCAGACGCAACGCACCACAGTGTGTGGTGGGGTGGGGGACAACACAGCGGGCGAGTTAGCCTAGAGCCAGAGCCCCTTCTTTCTGATCGCCAAGGCCGATTTGTCAACATTGCTAGTACTAGAGAAAGAAACCTGATTCGATTTTTGATCAAGTAAGACCTTGAGATCATGTTGAACAAATCATCATCAGGGGAAATGCAAAAAGGAATAAACAGAACGCCAAATCATAAATTAGGCCTACTTTACTATTTCCCTTGAATTTATTACTGGATCCCTTGTAACGAGAATCCTGCTATAACGGACATTTCGCACCGGTCCCCTCCCTCTCGTTATAACAGGATTCCACTGTATAATTTTCTAGTCTATGGAGTTAGGCGGGGACCACTTCTCCCGAAGAGTGCCTTGCTTAGTGTAGGTTTTAAAAAACCCAGATAAAAATGAAGAAAAGTACTTCTTACTAAGCAGACCTGCCATTTATCCCGATTTAATCCAATGGGGGTAAAAATGTCAGTTTCTTCAATTTTCACGCCTGATCACAGAATGCTGATTAGAGACACCCGTCTAGAAAACTTTCTGGGAAGATTTAAAAAGTTGTTTCGTCTCTTGTGTGTGTGTGTGTTTAAATGCGCACATCATACCACAGTTGTACTTGTTAATTTTAAGTGTTTCATACTACACACAGAGCTGAAGACTTGTGCTGCCTTGCCAGTGTTATTTTTATCATAATATTTTTTTTAAGCAACTTTTTAAGGCTTTGATTAATTATATTGATTATTATAAACATTCAACTGATTGAAATCCATTAAATTGGATAAGATTGAAATTTTTGTTTAAACTGAATTTAGCAAGTGGTATGTTAACATATTTGCACTAAGGTTGTTAATAGATTTTACAACATCAATTGTTTTTTAAAATTATTTTGTCTTTCAGGCACATGAACTGTGTGAAGCATGCTGCCAATAAGAATTATTGAGCGACCCTGATTTGGAGATTCTGGGATATTCTTGAATAAAGCAAAATGAACCTCTGTCGATGCTGCAAAACATCTCACAGAGGCCTTAGGTTTATGCACTCTCAACCTGGGAATGCAGATGATGTGAAGAACAAATTATCCTGTGAAGTTCTTGCAGGTCAGTATTATGATGTCTCTTGTGGAATTTTTAAAAATAAATTCTGTATTATTGAGCTTTTATCTTGTTTAAGAATCAATGTGAGAACTGCTTGGACACGTAGACAAGACGGTACGTCTGGTGTAATGGTTAAACTCACGATTCGCTATTGCATACTGAAGACTCGAGTTCAACTCCCGAATGGGGAATTTTAAAATTGGGCACCTCTGTCTGCTTGTTGGAATGATGGACATCCCACTCAGCCCAGGTTCACCCTGCTGCCAGGACAATTAGGGTCAAAGCGTCCTTCCCCCAGAACGAAGTAAATTTAGTCCATGGCTGTGTCGATCTACTCTCAGGAAGTCAGGAAACTGCATAACAAAGAAAGTGTTGGATTGAAATCCAAAGAGTAAAAGGTGAAGACCGCGTGGAACCTGGAGAAGAATCACAGAAATTGATGTCCAGAAAAGTGGGAAGACATGGAATGAAATCAAAAGGCTAGCCAAGGATAGAGAAAGGTGGAAACCATTTGTCCGTGGCCTATGCCCTGGTGCAGGGTGAGAAAGGCTTTTCCCCTAGTGCTTAATGACAATTGCAGTGCAGCCTCTGTATAGCGACCTTCGGTATAACGACCTCTGTGCAGGTCCCGAATTTTTCTTTAAATATCATTAGTAGTTTTTGGGTTGCCTCTCTATCACAACATTTTTTTCTGGTCCCCACTTTATGTCATTATAGTATTATAGAGAGGCTGCACTGTATTTTGTGTGTGTTTTTCTGTACTGTACTCAAGCCGACGAATAGACAAAATTTTGATTTTTAAACTAAATTTTTTGCAACTTTCAGCGTTAGGTGACACCAGCCTTAGCTGGTTCGATGACTTGACTGCAGCCCACATTGACGCTCAGGCCACAAGGAAGGATGCCGAGCGTCAGGTTCAAGATGAGTCAGAATTCTGGTCACCGTGTCCAAGGGGAGGTGTTTTCTCGGTGGCTGGTTCGTATCTTGTTGTATGTCATTGAAACATGGACATTTCTTTGAGCTCTATAAATCTGATTGAATGTAAGTTTGGAGAATTTTAGAAATATTAATTACTTTTTTATAAAATTCCTGAATATCATGTGAATCTTTTTTGGTTTAAAAAAGAAACATTTTATTATAACTGTCAAATCTTGTTCTTTTTTGCAGTGGTTATAATGTTGTAACTTGTGATAATTGTTCTAATGTTATCTTCTCTTCTTTTTTTTTTTTTTTTTTTTTTGTAGTTGAAAAACTTTTGAATTTTTCATTGAGTGGAAAGTAGGAAAAGCAGCACTGCTTTTATAAAATGAATTAGTTTACCATTGGGCACAATTAACACAACCATAGAAACTTCATAATCATGGATAGCTTATACAATTAATTTGCTGTTCCCAACTGATATCTCTTTAATTTTTTTGTTATATATTCGATTTACCTGAATCATGGATGTGTCGAATACTTGTCGAATATTTGATCTGTGCGCGACTATAAATGTAGTTGGCTGAGCTTTGCACACATGCAGGCCAGTGTAGAAAAGTGATTTTTTTTGGCACTCATCATATCTGCTAGTCTTTAGTTTGTTTGTTTGGGGGTTTTTTAGGTTATTTTTGTAGCCGAACTTTTTGTTATAGGTTTTTGAAATTGTTGTACAAAATTTAGGACTTTGTTTTTAGAGAACTTTCCGTTTTTTGTTTGTTTCTCTCTTTGTTCAAAGTTCTTGCTTGTTGAGTTCATTCCTGTGGACATTCAACTTTGCTGCGTATGTTTTTATCCTTGGGTTTTGTTTGGACTAACCTGCTTGGTGCACACATCATTGTTTCTGGACCGTGGGTGGTTGGCGGGTGCTCTGGTGTGGAAGAACTTCTTTCCTATTAAACAACTATCGCCTTTATCTCCCCTCCTTCTATTTTGTGTTTGTTACTCTCTTGTAACACCTCTAATCTTCGGCACTTTAAATATGACCGTATTGTGTTGTTTCAAGTGCCATAACACTCGTACTAAAACTAAAACTGTTTCTGGATTCCACCATGATTTCTTGTCTCTCTGTCAGTTCCCAACAAGAACAGAAACGGAGACATGACCCCCATGACAGCTTTGCTATCTACCTCGGGGAATACCTCCAATATTTTGCTCAATGCGTAAGTCAAGTTGTACCTGCATTTCTTCCCTTCTCGTAAACACTAGGGTGTGTACACATGTCTTGTGGGTGGTTGGCGGGTGCTCTGGTGTGGTTTGCTCCTTCTTTCCTATCAAACATCTATCGTCCTTATCTCCCCTCCTTCTGTTTTGTATTTGTTATTCTCTTGTATCACCTCTAATCTTCGGCACTTATATGACCGTATTGTGTTGCAAGTGCCGTAAAACTCGTACTAAAACTAAAAAACACATGCATTGGTTTAGAGAAAAGACTTTCCTCCCATGGTGTACTAAGATGATACAGTACTTTGAGTATATCTCAGATGAACACTGCCACAAGCCGACAAAACGCCTTTTTTTTTTGTTCCCGGCAGTTTTGAGAAAAAGAGGGTTTTTTTTGTCAGGGTAACCATTGAAAAATAGCGTTCTTCCAAAATTTGAACTCAAATTTATTTTTTAAAAATAGTTACAGTTTCACTTTGCTTTTCTTTCCCACAAGTAGGGTAACTGACCCAGGCTTTTGATTAAGCAACTAAAAATTTTGGCACCAAAATGCAAAAAATATGTCGTTTTGTCAGCTTTCGACAGAACAGAGGTTAGACATCAGATTTTTCCTTGGCATAATATTAGTTTTCCCCCTCTGGCCATCCCATTAGCGAACAGGGTTTTCTGTGTTTCACTCCCTGAGAGTACTTTCATTGATGAGAAACTTTTGTGATATGAGAAAACTTTCCTCAATTTTTTCTTCTGACTACTTTTCTCTACTGTAGAATTATTGCTTATTGCTTGCCATTTTAACTCTGTATTTTATGGTCTTACTCTTACCAAAGTTCTTTTCTTGATTCTCACTTTTATCCTTGAATACTGTTGTGTGGGATAGAGTGCAATCTATTATTATTATTATCATCATCACTGACACTTACATGTTTTGCAGGTCCCCTTTATTATTATTATTATTATTATTATTATTATTATTATTATTATTATTATCATCATTGACAGGTCCCCTTTTACTTTTGTTATTATTATTATTATCACTGACAGGTTCCCTTCGTTATTATTATTATTATTATTATTATTATTATTATTATTATTATTATCATTATTATTGTTGTTATCATCATCACTGACACGTGACGTGTTTTTCAGGTCCCCGTCGATGCAAAGTCCCATGAACGGCTTGAAGTGTGACCAGTCAGCTATTTCCTGGACCAGCGCCATGGCCACGCCCCTTGACCCTTCCTCCGCCTTTGCTTCATTTTCAGAAAGCAAGGATGAAAACTTTGCCTTTGGGGGTCAGTTCCTTTGTTGCTTCTTCTTACCTTTGGTTGGCGGGTGCTCTGGTGTGGTTTGCTTCTTCTTTCCTATCAAACATCTATCGTCCTTATCTTCCCTCCTTCTTTTTTATGTTTGTTCCTCTCTTGTAACCTCTAATCTTCTGGCGCTCATATGACCTTATGCAGTTGCGAGCGCCGTAAAACCTCTACAAAAAAAAAAAAGATCTTTAAAGTGGGTGGTTTGTGGGTGCTCTGGTGTGGTTTGCTTCTTCTCTCCTGTCAAAGACCCTCCGCGACATTTTGGAGAGAGCCTCGAAGCATCGATGGACATGTCTGGAGTGCAGGGATGTTCTTTCCGGAACAATGAATCCTGTCAAACATCTATCGTCTTTATCTCCCCTTCTTTTTGTGTTTGTTACCCTCTTTTAGCACCTCAAATCTTCGGCACTTATATGACCTTATTGTGTTGCAAGTGCCGTTAAACACTTACTTAAACTAAAAAAGCTTCAAAAAAGACATACGGCCTAGATATTCAGACTCATGCCCGTAATCTTAGGCGGTAGTGAAAAAGTTAACATAGACCAAAGAATTTACTATTATTGCATGGTTTCATTTTGTGGTTTTTTTATTTTCTCACACCAGAAATGGATGAAGGCAACATCACAATCACTGAACAGTCAGCGACTGAGGCTGGCAAATTGAAGGTACTTGAACTCTCCTCCCTGTATGCTTCTCCACTAATTGTCTCTGAGAAATTGTGCTCTCAGACTTCAGTGCTTTGAATGTGTCCTTGAGCTCTGCTTATTTGAACTTTGTATCTTTCAATGATGCCCCTTTTTTTTCCGAAGTTAATAGTTTGACGAAGAAAAAGGATTTTGCTGAGCTGAAAACGAGACCGATGCGGGAAAGTTGTATGTTGAAGAAGATTATACTTTTGACATTTGTTGAGTTTTATATCTTAACTAACCTTTTTTTTATATTTTGAACTTTTAAAATTGAAGGTGGATATTCGGTTTCATCGCTCAGACAAACCAATTTCTTCCCCAGCCCTTCAGTCGCCAGCTGTTCTCCCCGGGGCAAACGTCCTTGAACGACGACAGCCTCAGCGAGATGTTCAATGCTGATGCCGCGACCTCTGATATGACTGTTGAGCTGGAGAGCACGCTGATGAGCGAGGGGGAGCTGCCTTGTACGGCTGACAACACCTTGACCTCTAATCCTGAGAGTGCAGAGAAAGTAAATGAGGACGGAAGAAAAATGAAGAAATCTTGGCCACATGGGTCGGGATCTGTGGTGACAGTTGGTGACCATACAGAAAATAGACAAGGAGTGAAGCTTGCTTGTTTAAAAGAACCAAGTCATTCCAATGGTGATCTCAAAGGCTCACGTTTTCCAGCTCATGAATTGAGCAGTGAATCGGGTAAAAAAGGTTCATCTATTCGAGATGATGCAGGAAGAGGAAGTCGGGAGAAAGGCTTGACTGTACTTGATAATTCTGATGTAGGAGGAGATTGTTCTATAGCTGTATCTGACAGGTCAGGTCTGTCGGAAGAAAATTTTCAAGACTTTCAAACCCCGCATGAGGTCGAGAATGAAAGAGTGAAAGATAAAGATCGCAGTGTAGAAGATGAAAGACGCTCGAGTCACATAGACGAGTTGTTGTCAATGGTGTTCTGTAGTCAGGAGAGTTCTCCTGCAGAAGCCGGTACAAAGGACGGAGGGCAAGTTACGCAGATGCATGTAGAGGAAAATACAAAGTGTGAAGTGTCGGGAGTTGGTGAGAGGTGCTCTGGTAACAAAGATCGGAGAGCCGAGGTACAGGCTTTGAATTTACCGAGAGACTCCTTAGGTGTAAATACTCTATTCGATGGTACGAGGAAGAATTCTGATTTAGGAGATGTTGATCAAACTACGCCAGTGAGAAAGGTTGGTCTCGGAAATGTACAAAGTTTTGTTGGTGAAAGCTGTGATCCAGGAAAAGGTTGCTCAAATTTGGAACATTCCCTTGTTCCTATGACTGATCTAGGTAAAAGATTATCAAATGGCCTCGATGAGGGGTCAAAAACTCCACAGTCAATTCTGAAAAACCCTAAGACCCCAAAGTTGTCAACCAGGAAAAAAGTGCGCTTCTCCACCGAGGATATGGGACCAGGAGATGTAGAAAATACAGCTGGAGGTAATCTAAGCACGGTAGAAGGGCTAGATATGACAGTGAGTGACAACGAACATCTGAAGGAACTGAGTGACAGCGGACGTCTGAAGAAACTGAGTAACAGCAAGAGGGAATTCCTTATGGGTGAGCAGCTACCCCCTAGTGAGATAACGGAAGACGCTCCTGAGCTCAATGAACTCGGGGATGCTGTTTTAGCTGATTTGTCTCTCTCGATGTTTGAAGCAGACGACGGAGGTGAACATGAAAGTGTGTGGGAGGAAGAGGAGCCGTTGTTGAGTTCTCAGGTGGAGGGACTTGCCGATAGAGTCAGTGGGCTCTATGAAGAGGGTGACGCGGAAATGTCTCACGAGGAAGTGGACGATGCGGAGTCCGGTCTTGCTGCTGTGGGATGTGAAACAGACGGCTTCGGTCCGGATGATTCTTTCGAAGTTCTGGCGTCAAGTTTCTGTAGCCAGGTGTTGCTGAGTTCTCAGGTAGACGACAGAGCTGACAGACACAGGGCGGTGCAGGAGGAAGTGCGCGACCCTTGTCTCGCGGAGAAAGTGTTGAGAGTTGATGTACCTCACAGGAAGAATAGTTCAGAAAGTTCAGAAAGTTTTTTTAAGGAGGACGATTTAGTAAAGTGTTCTGAGGTGAAGTGTGGCACAGAAAATAAACAGGCTACTGTTATGGTATCAGAGAATAAGAAGGCTGGTACAATGAATGGTTTCAGAACTCTAGACTGTGACTTTGAAGAGGATGATGAAAGTTTATGTTTGGCTGTGGCTTTGGCCGAGAATCAGCAAATTTGTGATAAGGAGAAAGCATCTCCTGATGTTGACGGCAACAGTGTCTGTGTTGATGGGGGAAGCAGTGATGAAGACAAAGGCGGATTGGTCAAGGGTGTTGTTGACAGCAAGAGCGGTGTACCTTCTCGCACTATTGATGAACAGAAGACGAAAGAGTGTTCCCGAACTGTGGGCTGTACAGAGGATCAAAACTGTCCGTTGTCCAAAACCTCGATGGCAACGGTGGCTACATCAACTTCGGGTCCAGTCACCACAGTCCCGTGTGCCTCACGCGGTGAACACACTCTGACAGCTTCGTCTTCGTCATCCTTATCTGCTGCGTCACGTGTATCCCCTGCCGTCACCACTCAGTCACTTCAGACTCCGCAGTCGGCGAGACCTCTCCTTTCATCAGCGACTTCTTCTTCGTCATCCTTATCTACCATGTCACGTGTATCTCCGACTGTCACCGTTCAGTCACTGAAGACTCTGCAATCGCCGAGACCTCTGCTTTCATCAGCAGCTTCTTCTTCGTCATCTTCATCTTCTGTAGTAACTCCCTCGTCTTCCCGACCCTCTCCGTCTTTGGCCAAACCCTTGCTGAGTCTCCTGACCAGCAAACGGAAAAAGTTTGTGTACCCGACCCAACGCGCAGAAGAGGAGACCCCCGAGATGCGACTGTCCAAACTGCTGAACGCGGCCTTGTCTTCCAAACTACCATCTCTCCAAGCTACAGTACCGCACACGGGGAAAGTGAACTCGAATATAATGCATTCGCCGAAACTATCAGAAACTCCCACTTCCTCCAAGGCTGTAAGACTTCAGTGTGTAGCGGAGCAGCCATCGGTGAGACAGGCGGCCATCACCCCAGCCTACCACTCTGCTGTAGACTGTCAACAAAAAGCTGTCAGCCCCAAGAATCCTCCACATCAACCTGCAATGTCAAAAAAAGGAAAGAAGGATCTCCTCGGTAAGTTGTTTCTGAAATAATTATTTGTGAGACAGCTTGGTGAAATCAGGCGCTCATCAAAATAATCAAAGTGAAGAAACTGACATTTTTCCGCACGTTTGTGAATTTTTATCAAAAATTCGTTTTTTGGCTAAACACTTTTTTTGCCCTCTTAATAACATATTTCTGTGTTTATTATACTGAAAAACGTTGATTAAAGGCACACAACATGTAAATTTTCAGTTTTCACGAACTCTCAAGCGAAGGAATTAACTATTCTTTAGCAGCCATTTTCTCACCAATTTTACCTCTTAAATCTGGTGACCTCCACTTCCTTCATTCGCAAATATCTCGACTTGTATTCAAGATTAACGAACATTATTTTCATCAAAAGCAAGACAAATAAACACGCGTTAGGGTGATACCAGTAATGCTGCACGCCCAAAAACTGACGAGAGCCTGATTCCATCATGTGGTGACACATTTTGTTTTTCCTCTCTGTATGCTTCCCAGAGAGTTGAGGTTGTTTCCGAATGCTCTCACGTCTGCTGGAGTAATATAATATATGTGAGGCATCGTGATGAAATCACTCGTCCAAATAATGAAATCAAAGAATTCAGCATTTTTTGGCATATGGGTCTTTTTTTTTTTTTAAATTTAAAAAAAAAATTTTTTTTGCTCAACACCTTTTATGTCCTTTTAAAAACACACTTTTGTGTGGATTTTACTGAAAAACTTAAAGGCATAAAAAATGTAAATTTTCAGTTTTCAAAGACTCTCAGGCTATGGAAGTTACCAAACTTCGTCAGCCATTTTTTCGCTTATTTTACCTCTGAAACCAGGTGACCCTCACCTCCTTAAATTGCAAATATTTTGACCTCTATTCTACATTGATGGGATTATTTTCTCCAAAAGAAAGGGAACTTATTCCACTTATTCTTTAACCAGTTTTCCTCTTCATTACTGTCTCAAAGTAATTATGTGGGTGGTTGGTGGGTGCTCTGGTGTGATTTGCTCTTTGTTTCCTATCAAACGTTTTATCCTCCTTCTCCTTTTCTTTGGATGTCACTCTCTAGTAACACCTCTAATCCTCAGCACTTAGATATGATCTATTTGTGTTGCAAGTGCAGTATTCTTTCAAAAACTAAAACCCTCAAACCAGAGTAATTGTGATTTTTGTCTGTCTGTCCTCAGGATTCGCCAGGTTCTCAGATGTGTTTTGTGATGAGGCCGTGGAGGAAAAGCCGCCGGAGACAACGACGAAGGGTGCAGCAAATGTTCTCTGGGCTCAAGAAATGTCTGAAGGGAGAAAGGACAATGCTGTTCGTTCTGTGGAAAGAAGAGACTTGAATGTTGGGACTGTGGAATCTGTAACGATGCCTGAAGCTGAACGTACTTCGGCTGGAGAACTAACAGTTCGGCTCTGTGATAAAGTAGTAACGTGTAAACTTGGAAACAACAACTCTAATTATAGATCAGACTCTTCTGATACTCAAAATGCGGTAGATAAACGCAGTAATCATCACCACGCTGATGCAGCCGCGGCACGTGTAGAGGATTTTATTGAGACAGCGCGCGGCACCGGTGACAGTCCTACGACGACGCCTGAAGACGCGGATGAATTCATGTTCTCCTCTCAAATGTGGCGAGCCACCGAGTTTTCTCAGATTGAGTCCTCACAGACGCACGCTGAGGACGGATCGACGAAAGTCATGGCCTCAGATAGTGATTGCATGCTCACAGCTGCTGCACATATGTCAGAGGACTCTTTACAGGGAGAAGAAGATACCACAATGTCAGATACACATAGTGTGGAGAATTGTATTCGTTCTGATGGTCACAGAAATGTAACAGCTTCTGCTGATCAACGTAGTACAGGCAAATCGGAGAAATCTTTCCCTCGGGCTGCCACGTCTGGGTTCTGTAGACCAACGTATCAAACGGGGACAGTAAAAAGTAAACCCAGAGAAACTGAGAATCAGGAACAAAATGAAATGAACCAAAGTGACTTCACCATCAACGACAAGGATAAAAATTCTCCCGCTTCGCCGTTGATGAAATGTTTCACTACGGCTTCTCTTTCGGAGTGCACTAACGGACGGTTAAGTAGTGAGAAAGATGCGAAAAGTTCAGATGCTTCTTGTAAGAGAGGAATCGGTGACTCTGGTGATGCTACCTTTGATGGCTCCCCTCAGAGAGTCTCTGCTGGCACAGTTGATGGAGAAGCGACTCATTCTGTCTTTTCGAAACCATCCGGCTTTACCACAGGGAGAGGGGCTCCCATTTCAAGGACAGAGGAGAGTACAGAGATGGCTCAGCAGGTTATGATGGAATGCCAGGAAGATAGAGACCCTGATGCTTGTGACGGTCGTGTTGGGAATGCCACATACAGCGAGAACAGGACATTTTCCAGTGGACAGTGTGGGAATGGTAAGGACGATCGTCTTCCCAAAGCTCCCAGTGCTGGTTCAGTGGCTGGGAACTGTGCGGATACTTTTGGGTTCCAGACAGCCGGTGGTCGTGCGATTTCTCTGAGTGCAACGGCACAGCAGAAGGCCAGGCTATTGTGGGAGTCTGTAAGAAATGAAACCGACTGTGGTGAACAAGCAGATAAAATCCCACCAAAAGTCCCTCCAAAAGAAATTGTTCCCGGCAGTACTCGCCTGGCAGAGAAACCGCCGCTCAGCAGCACGGTGAAGCCGCCAGGAGGAACAAAGCCGGTGAACAATGTTTGCGAAAACACAAAGAGTAATGCTAGTAAGCCTAAATTTGACAAAAGTTACAAAGGTTTCAGACCCTTCAAGCCCCCAAAACTTAAACAGAAAACTGTCGCGACGTCCAGAGATCAGACGGGCCGTGTTTTGAATCAGTCTTGTGGTACAAAACAGACAAACAACAGCGCCAGAGTTGCAGCTCTGGAGCAGATACTAAAACAGTGTGATGATATCATGGACACGAATAATGACGCGAGCGGCAGCCGCAGTGCAGGAGAGAGTAAGGAGGAATTTCGTCCTTTCACTGGCTTACAACAATGTTCGAACCCAGGTCCTCAAGCCTCACTACTCCCCTCCCTCTCAACGGGAGCAGAGAAGTCTGGAGAGACAATAGCACACCAGGAAACATCGAAAAGCAATTTTACCCTAGGGTTCAGAAAAGCTGGGGGAGCAGATGTTACAGTGTCTAGACAAGCTTTGAGAAAAGCTGAGATGTCGCACTCGGAGGATGGTGGTGATTTATCGAGCAGAGACGCAGCCTCAATGTCTGTGGCACTCAATACTTCTGGAGAACCGCAAGCTGATGCGACTTTGAAAGAACCACCCATGGTCGGCTTTATGACAGCCTCCAGGAAAAATGTTGAGGTTTCAGACAAGGCAATGAGTCGCGCCAAGTCCGTGTGGATAGAAGTGCAGCAGGCAGAGAGGGAAGTGTCTACAGCGAGGCCAATGTCAGGATTTGTCACTGCGGCAGGGAAGGAAGTTAAAGTTTCCGAGGAAGGGATGACTCGAGCTAAATCTTTGTGGACGGAAGATCAAAATAATGCTCCGGAGAGTGATGAGGTGCTTCGTGATGCGTCGGGACTCTCGTTACCCACTTGCGGTTCTGGACTTGGCCACGACAGTGCTCTCACTGGTTTCACAAAATCTGGAGAAGTTCACTCATTACAGGTGTCAAAAGCGGTACTGCCAAGCTTCACGACCGCAGGTGGGAACGATATCCAGGTGTCGGCAGAAGTTATGACTCACAGTGAGTCCTTGTGGACAGACGGACAGCTGGGAGAACCGGAGATTTCTAAAGGGAAACAATCCATGGCAGGTTTCATCACTGCTGCTGGTAAAGGCGTTCAAGTCTCGGCACAAGCATTAAGTCGGGCTGAGACTTTATGGGCTGAGGATAAAGACATGAGCGGAACAACCCGAGGACAGACGGGAGAGGCATTGAAAGATGGAGCTGTTCCAGGTTTCATGACTGCAGCCGGTAAAAGTGTGGGGGTGTCTGAAAAAGCCTTCAGGCACGCCAAGTCTTTGTGGAGTGATGGAATGCAGGGAGAAGAAGAAGGTTCCAAAGGAAAACCTGTGTCAGGATTCATGACGGCTGCTGGGAAAAATGTTCAGGCTTCGGAAGATGCAATGGCTCATGCCAAGTCTTGGTGGAATGACGGTCAAAGTGAGATGCTTCAAGCGGCATCAGATCGTTCATCACCCGTGAAAGGTTCTGAACCCGAGCCAAAGGACACTTTTTCTGATGTCACAGAGTATTCTAAACACGAGGCGGAAGCGCCGAACTCAAAACCTATGTCAGGCTTCACAACGGCAGCAGGTAGACAAGTCCGAGTATCGGATGACGCGATGGCTCAAGCCAAGTCCCTCTGGACAAACGATCAACGAGCTCAAAGTGGTGGGGAGTGTGGTGAGATGCTTCAGGGGGAAGCCAACTTCTCCGGACCAGTCAGTGGTTTGAGATCTGCTTCTTCAAAAGGCGTGTTTGCTGGTTTTACTACGGCGGGCGGGGCTGCCATGAAGGTGTCGGAGAAAGGCTTACAACATGCCCGTTCTTTGTGGCATGAGGAGGGTGCTAGCTTTGAACATGAGGGAACCGCTGTTGGTGAACAAAGAACCGAAAGTTTGAAGCAGCCCACAGCTCATACCAATGATGGACAAGTTACTCAAAAGAAAAATGAAAAGCTGACAGGTACATCAAAGAAAAATGATAGTAAGACTTCTTATACCTCTCCAGCTGTCAGTCCATCTGGTTTTCAAACTGCAGGCGGGGCTAATGTTCCTGTATCGGACAAATCTATGAAAGATGCTGAAAAATTATGGTTGGCAGAACAGAGTGATCACGACCTGGCTGATGTAGAAGAAGCCGCTTTATCTGGTCAACTTTGTGATCTGCTGGACGGTTCTGATGCCGATCGCACAGGGATGAATCGTGCTGCGCCTAACGCGAGAGCGGGGGAGCCTGCGGGGTTCTCAACTGGCAAGGGAAGGAGTGTGGTTCTGTCAAAGTCAGCGCTGAGAGCTGCCCAAAGTCTTCTGAGTTGTGAGCAAGAGGATGTTGGGCCAGGCTCATTGTTGGCTGTACCGCCGGACGACCGCCTCCAAGACGACAGAAGTGACTGCTCTACTGGTGAGTTTTTTTGGTTTGTGTTAATGCTTCATCTTAATGAACCAGAAATTTCAGACCATTGCAGCGGATGGTTGGCGGGTGCTCTGGTGTGGTTTGCTCCTTCTTTCCTATCAAACATCTATCATCTTTATCTCCCCTCCTTCTTTATTGTGTTTGTTACTCCCTTGTAACACCTCTAATCTTCGGCACTTATATGACCTTGTCCTTATTGTGTAGCAAGTGCCGTAAAACTCATACTAAAGCTACAGACTGTCGCAGTAAGACTTTCACCAATGTCTAAATTGTGGAAGATGTTGTGGTTCAAAAACAGACCTTGTGGCCCATGAACTTTTTCCCAGTCGTCGTCATCGATACTGATGGACAGCCGAAGACGAAGAGAAGATAATGAATCCTGTTAAGCATATTTTTATTATGGGCTTTATATTGCTTCAGTCTTGCCTGGATTTGTTTGGCTTTGATCGATGCTAAACGAGAAGAGTGTAGAGAAGTGGGGTCGGGCAGGGAAGAAATGGCAGTGTTTGACGAAGTCTTAAAATACTTTGCTGTCTGAACCAGTGAAAAATCTTTTCAAGTACTTGAATGTAGTCCGGTTTGTCCCACAGAGAGAATGTGATCATGAAAACTACTGGAGAACAGGCCGGACACTGATGGATTTTATTTCTGCAGTGGTGTAAATATTTCACTGATGGATTTCTATCGTCCTCATCTCCCCTTCTTCTTTTTTATGTTTGTTACTCTCTTGTAACACCTCTAATCTTCTGGCGCTCATATGACCTTATGCAGTTGTGAGTGCCGTTAAACCTCTACTAAAACTATAAACCATAAACTAAACTGATGGATTTAGAAAAAAAACAACCCAAAGAACAAGAAACAAAATTTGTCGTTTCTTTAAACGAAGTGTATACAGACCCGGGAACCGGGAACCAAGTCACGAAGTATACAGACCCGGTAACCGGGAACCAAGTCACGAAGTATACAGACCCGGTAACCGGGAACCAAGTCACGAAGTATACAGACCCGGTAGGGGAACTCTTTTGTGATTTCGGAAAGTTTCAGCGCCCAGACCCGGTAGTGTGTGTGTGTGTGTGTGTGTGTGTGTGTGAGAGAGAGAGAGAGAGAGGGAGGAGAGAAGTGCTAGCAAAATGTATGACATGCCCCAGTTGGTAGGAGGGAACGAGAGAAAGATAGAGTGGGAAATAGTTGGAGAGAAAGAAAGACGGAGACAAACAAAGAAAAAGAGAATTCGAGCGATACACACACACACAGAGAGAGAGAGAAATAGAGAGGGTGACTGCTCGATTGAAATTATGACATTGTTCTTTTCTTCAAATTGTGTCTTGTGATTCCTCCAACTCTAAAACGGAGGAAAAACAATCGTTCATCGAAAAGACATCCGCAATCTTCATTTAGATCTAGGCTAGCCTCGAAACTAGATCAATGATTTATGTCTGTCTATCTAGATCTAGACCTGGGCCATAGATCTAGAAGAACCTAGATCTACCCTGAGCCAAGAGGCGCTGAAACTTTCCGAAATCACAAAAGAGTTCCCCTACCGGGTCTGTATACTTTGTGACTTTGTTCCCGGTTACCGGATCTGTATACACTCCCTTCTTTAAATTTTGAAACAGTTCTGTTGTGGCGTAAGGGAGTGCTCAGTTGTTCTGTGTCTCTTCGCTCTGTGTGAAATCAGTGAGTAATTTCTTTCCTTCCTTAAGATAGTAAGATAAGATACGTCTTTATTGTCCAGATCCTGGCACATTGGTTTGGTGTTTCACCAGGTGTACACTCACACGCACACACACACGCACACACACACACACATGCACACACACACACACACACACACACACACACATGCACACACACACGCACACACATGCACACACACAAGCATTTTACTCTGATTTACTCTCCCTCTCTCCAGACTCTACCGACAGGAGAATTGGAAAGAAACTCCTCGCTCCTCAGAGGCCAAAGAACGAAGGTGAGAAAGATTTCTGTCTTTTGGCCATTCCCAAAGGGAGGGACATTGACATGCTGCCCCCGTGGTTTTATGCACCCCGCATAATTTAACAAAATGGGATAATTTTTTTGGCATAATTTCTCATTATTTTCCTTTATCATTCTTTGTTAAAATTAACAGAATCGCATAATTTCACATTTTTGGGCTCAGTTTGCATAATTTCAGAATTTTTCTTGCTTAAAACGACGCGGACAGAACATGTTTTTTTTCACAGTAGAATTGTAAATGGGCTGATTCATCAGTGTCATGCTCATAACTGTGCCTGAACTGCAACACAGGGAACTGCTGCTTTTTCTTTCCTAACCCTTATACCATCGTCATTTTTTTCCTCTACTTCTTTTGTGACCCGCTATTTCCGGGGTGCCTTGATAGTCGAAGCAGACTTTGTGCTGTTGAAGCTAGAGAGGTGAGCAGAGTATGTCTGATTCCCTGTAAGGACTTCTCTCTGTTGACATCCACCCGTTGGCGCTCATATGACCTTATGCAGTTGCGAGCGCCGTAAAACCTGTACTAAAACAAAAAGATTTGTGTTCTTGTTCTGGAGGATTCAGGCTTGTACTTGTTTAGATAAAGTTGTAGATCTGTGCTATAAGATGCACTAAATAAATTCCCTGAGTAGAAGAGAACAGTGGGTGGTTGGTGGGTGCTCTGGTCTGGTTTGCTCCTTCTTTCCTGTCAAACAACTATCGTCTTTATCTCTCCTCCTCCTTTTTTGTTTGTTACTCTCTTGTAACACTTCTAAACTTCGGCACTTATATGACCTTATTGTGTTGCAAGTGCCGTGAAACTCATACTAAAAAAAAAAAAAGAACAAAAAGAGAAGAAATCACTATCTTTTCCCTGCAGACACGACACATCCCACTGAATTCCTACCTTAACCTAAACAGAATCCGTTAGGATACCCTGCCTGCCTGCCTGCCTGCTGTGTGATTGCCATGATGAAACAGTATCACACGACCTCTTTGTCTCCCTTTTTTTCTATTACATGTCTTCTTTTCCTGAGAAAGAAACCTGCTGTTTTTTCACTCAAACTTCTGTGTTTTTTTTCCTCTTTTAGAATTTCATTGTGACAGGAGAGACTTCAAAAGGAGGCGGCTGCAACCCGTTCTGACCGGCGAAAGTCCTGAAGCAAGTGAAAGGTAAATGCAAGCATAAATCTTGGTTTAAAAAATATTGTTAATGTTTGCACGAAGTTTCTTCTCTAAGTCTTTTTGAACAACAGTGAAAGAAGAAATAAAGATCACATGAGAACTTCAGAGCTATTTATTTGTCCTCTCATAACCTCTGAGATGTTTATGAATTTTCTCTGTTTGTTTTACAATAGTTTGTTACTGGTGCTTAAAAAATGAAACTGTTGGAAACAAATATGTGGCACAACATGGTGAAATCAGGCGCTCATCAACTTTTGGGCATGTGGAGTTATTGATATCACCTGAAAGCTTGTTCATTTGCCTTGCTTTTAATGAAAAAAATATTTATCTAGCTTGAATAGAAGTCGAGATATTTGCAATTGAAGGAGGTGGGGCAGCCTGGTTTCAGTCGTTAAATAAATGAAAAAATGGCAGCCAAAGTTTGGCAACTTCAATAACTTAGGAGTCCTTGAAAGCTGAAAATTACATATTTTGTGCCTTTCAAGAAGGGTTTTAAGTAAAATTCACATGGGAATGTGTTTTCATACAAACATAGACGGTGTTTAGCCAAAAAACAAAATTTCGATAAAAATTGCCAAACTTGTGGAAAAATGCCTTTTTCTCTGATGTCAATATTTTGACGAGCACCTGATTTCACCACGATGCCTCACATATAGGGTTCGTTAACACTTTGCGTCACTTGGCGCAATAATGCGCCGGTGAAAATTATCTGTTCCAGTCACCTAGCGCAGAACCTGTGCCAGGCCTGAGAAAGTTTGTTGCGGATATTCTCCTGGCTGGGTGACCAGATGGGGTATTTTGTACTGCTGGCTGTGTGGCTGCAAAGTGTTGAATGGTTGCTTTTAAGGACAAGTGGGCTAACCCAGATTTCGGAGGTTTCCAGAAAACTTGACCTACACCAAAAGTGGGCATTGTCCTACCTATAGGAGAAGTTTGGTTTCATTGGTGTGTATATTTGTTTGGTTATAGAGAAAACTCTCCTTGTATTTTAATGGGACTGAATAAGGATCTAAAAACGTTTAACTTCGATTTTCTCAAAACAGCATTTATTGGGATAGCCCACTTGTGCTTAAAAGCGACCAAATGTAAAGGATTCTTTTCTTTGTGCATTGATGGAGGTTCTACTTTTCATTTTTTCTTTCGTTTCTCTTTGTCCTTCTGTTCTATTTCCCTGCTATTAATAATAAGTATTGTTGTCCTTCTGTTATATTTCCCTGCTATTAATGATAAGTATTGTTGTCCTTCTGTTCTATTTCCCTGCTATTAATGATAAGTATTGTTGTCCTTCTGTTATATTTCCCTGCTATTAATGATAAGTATTGTTGTCCTTCTGTTATATTTCCCTGCTATTAATGATAAGTATTGTTGTCCTTCTGTTATATTTCCCTGCTATTAATGATAAGTGTTGTGTTAATGTGCTTCTGTTTTTTTAAGCCAAAACAATTTGACAGTTCTATTCCTCTGTCTCTAAGCTGTACATTCTAATTTGAATGGTGGGTGGTTTGCTCCTTTCTTTGCTTTCAAAACATCTAACATCTTCATATCTCCTTCTTTTCTTTATACATTACTCTCCTGTGACGTATCTAATCATTGGCACTTATAAAAAAAACTTTTTGAGTTGCAATTTATATGGCCTTTTTGTGTTGCAAGTACCGTAAAACTCTCACTAAGTCTAAAACTAAAATTTGAATATGTCTTGTCTCTGACAGGGATCCCCTGGCATCCAAGCTTGAGAGTGGACATGTAGATGCCGTGAAGGGAAAGACGACGTCCACTTTCAAGCCACCGTACAAAAGTACCGCCCACACCCTCAGCTCCACATCCACTTTGGCACGTCCTCATCCTCAGTCCCCTCGGACGTCAGGATCTTCCTCGGGGTTCATCGCTCCCAGATCGAGACAAAGCCGTCCCGTAGACAGTTCTGACACCTCCACCTCCTCCAAGTCGTACATTTTCTTCTCTAAAAGAGGCAGAGGAGGAGGAGGGGGAGGAAGAAGAGGAGAGATAACAGATGCTGGGCAGACAAATTCTGCTACTGCTGCCGCAGACACCGAGAATTCTGCGTCTGAACGGAACTCAGAAATACCCAACTGTAGCGTTGCTCCTTCTGTCGTGGACGAGTCTCTGTTTGACATGAATGACGAGGAGGAGAACAGATTGCTTTGTCGAGAGATGGATAACTTATCGGAGGTGATGGAACAGCCGGCAGAATCAAACCCCGCTGTGGCTCTCAGTTGTGGGCCGCCATCGAGTCCTAAATTAGAAAACGCTAAATTACAAAGTGACGACTCAAAAAAATCGGAAGAACGCGAGGGGAGAGCAAAGTCTGTTGTACATCAACCGAGCTCTGTGAGGGGAAGTAATAACGCTACTAATGAAGAGGCGACTGCCGGTTGTGCGACTATTTCTGCCGGTGTGAAAACCCAAAGTGCCAGGGCGATGTTGCCCGCGGATGTTCTCGACGAAGCTCGCATGAGGCAGGACAAGTTGTGCAGGGTAAAACTGCGGAAAAAGATTCAGCCTCGGAAAGGTCGGTGGCTGGAAGAAAGGTCGAAGAATGGAGGTTCAAGGTCATATCAGGAGTCCGGTCTGGCTCCTCTGTGGGATCTGAGTAGAAAAGAGGTACGGTGGTTTTTTGTTTGTTGTTTCTTTCTGTGTTTCTTTTTTTGTTGTTGCTGTATTTTCACTTTTGGAAAAAAAAGTGTTTCCTTGCTTCTCGCTTACTCGTCTCTCTCTGTTTGTCTTATTCCTTCCCTCCCTCCCTCCCTCCCTCTCTCTCTCTCTCCCTCTCTCTCTCTCTCTCACTCGCTCTCTCTCACTCTCTCTCCCCCTCTCTCTCTCTCTCTCTCTCTCTCTCTCTCTCTCTCTCTCTCTCTCTCTATCTCTCTCTCTCTCTCTCTCTCTCTCTCTCTCTCTCATTTTACCTGAGTAATTATATATGTATTTCCCCCCATCCCCCCCATAGCTGCTACATTTGGGCGTGTCAGAGTCCACGCTGGGCGTCAGCAGCTGCAGCGCGGCTCTGTTCCGGTTGGACCTGCGTCGTCACTACCCCGGCCTGGGAGGTAGCGTGTTGCTAGGAGACGGGGCGCTCCTGGTGCCGGACGCTCACGGGTTCGCCGGCTGGGAGGAGTTCCACAGGTCTGGGATGATTGTAGTGATGATGATGATGATAATAGAAAGAAATATAATAATTATAATGAAAATAAAAATAATTATAATAATAATAATTATAATAATGATCATAATAATAATTATAATAATGATGATGATGATAATAATATTAGTAATAAAAAGATGATAATAATGATAATAATAATAATAATGATAGTAATAATGATGACAATAATAATGATAATAATAATAGGATTTATGTAAGGCATATCCACAGTCTACAGCATACTCTATGGGCCTTACAACTATTAACCCATTCACTGCCAGGCCCGCACCTCAATCCAATCAAGGTTTGGGTGTGACACATGAATTATGAGAGAATATAATCAAAATTGTGTCGATGGGACGTAAAAGACCTATAAAAAAACAACCCCCCCCCCCCCCCCCCAAACAAATTCTATTTGGGAATGAAGTCATTTTGTATTTTAGTTTTCTGAGTAATTGGTACTTCATTTTCTAAACTTTTGTTTTTTCCATTTCTCAGTGCCCTGCTGACTCTGGATAGTGTAGATCCCAAACTGATGGACAAATCGTGGACAGAGAACCACTACCGCTGGATTGTGTGGAAGCTGGCCGCCTCGGAAGTTTCTTTCCCTCACCACCTGGCCGGCAGGTCTGCCGAGATGTTTTCTATGATATGTCCATTTGTTCTGAGATTATTGATTGGTTACTTGGTTGGAGAATAGGCATCATTCAGGGATGCCACTTTTCCGCTTATTTCCGGTATTTTGATCCTGATCCGCTATTCCGTTATTGAGATCGAGATAGAATCTATAGTTGGAGAATGAACAACAACAAAAAATCCCACACGCACAACTTGCGACAAATGTTCAAACAACAGAAAAACAACAGAAAAACAAAGACTTCGCCATAAGTTCAAATCACAGGGAGAAAACCCCCCCGGAAGATTTGTGCTAATCTCAGCACCATTTGGGTTTCAAATTGATATTCATATTATATGTTAGCGAGTCCGTGGCGCGTGGATTTTCAGCTATTTTCAAAAAAGTTGAGTGGCATCCCTGATCATTGCAGGCAGTACAATGTCATAGCTGCTCCTCCCTCCTCTCCAGGATCCATGAAAGGGTCTGCCTGCTGATCGTGCCAGTTATCAGCTGGTTGGATATTCTTCTGGCTTTTCCACGCAGGTTGCTGTCTCTCCCCGACCCTCTAGAGACACCAGCTTCCCTTAGTCTATCCATTGTGTGTGATGTGGAGTCTTCTTCTCTGTGGTTGTTAAACCAGAATATTGTTACGAGAGACCTTTGTGTTATTTTAAAGTTTCTTTTTTAATAACCTGTGTCTGTGGTGCAGCAATTAGGTTCTTCGCCGTTGTACACAGGAGGCCCAAGTTTGATTCCCTGAGTGGGGAGAATTTCTTTGATCAAGTGTCTCAAGTGTTTCTGCTGAGGTGTTGTATAATTGTACACCTCTCCGCCCGGGTTGGTCCTGACAGGCAGGGTTGAAAATAATCGAAATTGTGTCAATGGGGACGGAGAAATGTCTACTTTGAAAAACTCAACGTTTTTTTTTGTTTTAGTTTTGTGATAGGCCAGGGCAGTGCCACTGACTGAAGTGTCTTTAGGCCGTTTTCAAATGGGGGGGACATATCTCGTTCAAGCACAGTAGAATTGTAAATGGGCTGACTCATGTCACGCTCATAACTGTGCCTGATCTACAACAGGGAACTGCTGCTTTTTCTTTCCTGATCCTTACTGTTGTCATTTTCCTCTACTTCTTTTGTATGTTTGTCACTCCCTTGTGACCTGCTATTTTGGGGTGCCTTGATAGTCGAATAAGTCTGATTCTCTGTAAAGACTTCTCTGTTGACACCCACCCCTTGTCGCTCATATGACCTTATGCAGTTGTGAGCGCCGTAGAACCCTCTATCATAAAAAAAATGTTTTAAAAAGTGTTGTCTTGAACTATTGGATTGTCTTGTGTCACACGTAATGCAAAGGGCAACTGTCTCAACTATCTGTGCTTTACTCAAAGCTGCTGCTTGTGTTTTGTTTGGAAAATGGTTGTTTGAAGCCTGTGTGGAAATGTGTCTGTCCATGTTTATTTGTATGTCTGTGTGTGTGTTTCTGTGCGTGTTTTTGTAAATTTGTGAGTGTGTGTACATAATACTCATTGTACATGACTGAGGCTGAGAGTAAGAATTTCATATTAATTTGGCCTCAATTAATTAACCGTAGGAAAAGGAATACCAAATGAAACGAAGTTTCTAGTTTTTAAAAATTCTATCTCTGTCCCAGGAGTCTGAGCCCGGAGAATGTCATGTACCAGCTCAAGTACAGATACGACAGAGAGGTTGACCTTTGCCAGAGGTGAGTCGTGGGCAGTTTAAAAAAATTAAAACACACTCTCTACGGAACATTACAGCTACTGCAGCAAACCTGCACTTATCACTACATGGCATTGGACTGAAGGGCGAGAGTCCAGCTGTTGCTGGATCGATAACAACATTAACAACAACAACAACAACAGCAGCAACAACAACAGTAAAGAGTTAAAGAAAAAAAGAGACTACTTTCGTGTCTTTGGAGACATTTGGGGGCTTCAATAAAAGTTTTTTTTTTCTTTCTTGTCATACAGTAGGCCTACCGTGTGACAGTAGAGATTGTAAAGTGCATAGAGCTTGCTGTTGAGCCGGATTTTGCGCTTTACAAATGCTATTTATTATTATTATCATTATCATTGTTATTATTTTAATTATAATTATCATTATTATTATTATTTTTATTACTGTTATTATGTTATTATTATCATTTTTATTTTATTATTTTTATTATTATTATTATCATCTTTTTCATTGTTATTATTATTATTGTTTATTTTGCTAGGAGTGCGCTGAGAAAGATCCTGGAGCGAGACGACGCGGCTGGCAAGAGGATGGTGCTGTGTGTGAGCTCCGTGAAGAAGGAGTCGAATGGCCAGGTGAGTTTTTAGACAACTGCATAAGGTCATATGAGCGCCAGAAGATTAGAGGTGTTACAAGAGAGTAACAAACATAAAAAAGAAGAAGAGGAGATAAGGATGATAGATGTTTGATAGGAAAAAAGAAGCACACCACACCAGAGCACCCGCCAACCACTCACAGCCAGGTAAGGAGACACAGAATCATACATGTATGACTGTCTTTGTCTTGTGAGAATTCTGCAATGCTTAAGATCATCGGGAAACATTACGTTTTCCGTTTGATTGAATTAAAAGCTTTTTGCTTTGTTTTTGTTTCTTTGCTTGGGGGGGGGGGGGAGGTTGTGTGCTAGGGATAAGGAAAAAATGTTAATGTTTTGAAAGATATTTAGTTTTTCTTCCAATTTAAAAAGAAGAAAAAATCCACCTGTATATAGATCTAGCGTGTTTCACTCTTTACTGGATTGTGCGTTAAATTGTTTTTTAATCCATTGTTTTAAAAAAATTATTATTATATTGTTATTATTGTTGTCATTATTATTATTATTGTTGTCATTATTATTATTATTATTATATTATTATTATTATTATTATTTTATCATTATTATTATATTTTTATTATTATTATAACATTGTTGTTATTATCATCATTATGATTGTAAATGCTCTTTTGACTGTCACAATCCACGGTTGTTTCTCCTGCAGCTGTCTGTGGAAGTGACCGATGGCTGGTACTGTCTCAGGGCCCAGGTGGACGGTGTACTCAATGACCTCTTGACCAGGGGGAGACTGCAGGCCGGGGACAAGATAGTGACCAGCGGCGCCGAGATAGTCGGAGCTCAGGATGCTTGCAGTCCTCTGGAGGTAATTGTCACGTGGTTTCCCTATTGTTATTCTGTTGGTTGTTGTTGTGGGGGGTTTTTTGGTGGATTTTAAAAGACTCAGCTGAGATAATAATAATAGATAGCATTTGTATAGCGCAAATCCCCGCTCAACGGCAAACTCAATGCGCTTCACAATCTATACTATTACCCCAGCAGACCTGAGAGCTTTTGAAACAACCTCAACTTCATGTAAGGATACAGTGCAAGCAGCCATTTATAGGTGCTGAAACACTAACATACTGACAACATCTTTCGCATGGAGGAGATGCGTGTGGAAAGGGACTTGAGAGAGATGAAGCTCACTTGGAACGAGCTTGGAAGGATGGCCCATGACAGAGATAAATGGAAGGAGCTTGTATGTGGCCTATACCCTGCCGGGGGTGAAAGGCATTGATGATGAGATGAAATTGTGCATGATTTCCCTATTGTTATTCTGTTGTTTTTGTGGACTGTAAAAAGTCTAGCTGCGAAGAAATTTTAATTGCGTTTTAATCAACGTTTTTCAGTAAAATCCTCCCAGAAATGTGTTCTTAATTGGACAACAACAGTGTTACGTCAAAAAAACAAAAAATACACCAAAAAATGTCCAAACTGCCAGAAAAATGCCAGTTACTTCAATTTCATTATTTTGACAAGTGCCTGATTTCACCATGCTGCCTCCCATTAAAAAAAAAAAAAAAAAAAAAATCAATTTTTTCATGACCTTTTTTTAAATTCACTTAATTAAAAAATATTTGAAGCGTACGACATCTTTTCTGACCAGGTAAAAGAGGGCACTGCCCTGAAGCTGAGCGGCAACTCGACCCGGCCTGCGCCGTGGTGCGCCAAGTTGGGGTTCTGCTCGACACCGGCGGCTCTGTGCGTCCCCCTGAGTTCTCTCTCCCCTCACGGAGACACGGTGGGATGTGTGGATGTAGTGCTCACCCGCAAGTATCCTGTCATGGTAAGGGAGGTGGTGGGGGGGTTGATTTTTGACCTGGTTGTATGTGGACTTTTTGTATTTCTTCTTCTTCTTCTTCTTCTTCTTCTTCTTCTTCTTCTTCTTCTTCTTCTTCTGCTTCTGCTTCTGCTACTGCTGTTGCTCCTCCTCCTCCTCCTCCTCCTTCTCCTCCTCTTCCTCCTCCTCTTCCTCCTCCTCCTCTTTTTCTTATTCTTCTGTTTTTCCTTCTCCTTTTTATTATTATCATCATCTTAAAGAAGGATAGAACAATTTTCTCTGTTCATTTTTCCATGAACCCTGCTGTGTTTCTCCTTTATAGATTTCCTGTTGTGGAAAATGCAAGTGTCCCATGACGGCTCCTGTGTGGTTACAACTCTATAAATAAAGTAAAACGTGAACGCAGTTCCCACTTTCATGCAAACAACGATTCAGTGTAGAAAAATGAAGCATGATGCCGGCACAGATTGGAAATAGCCTCTGTCCACTGAACCTCCAGAAGGCCATCAGACTACGGGTGATTCTGTGTGCTGTGTCAGTCACTCCATTGACGTCCCGGGAGCCGGGATTCATTGCTCGTGTGGCGGTGGGGCCTCCAATGCTGAGAAGGCGTAGCCCCTGACGATTCAGTAATGATGTCTTTTTTTTATATGTCTTGCAGTACATGGAAAAACTTGGGGACGGGAGCCACGTGTTCCGCTCGGAGGAGGAAGAGGGTCGGGCGTTGAGAGCGTTTGAGGAACGGAGACAAGAGCAGGCGGAGAAAGTCATGGCCAAGTTACAGGCTGAGATGGATGCGGAGGATGCAGGTTTGACATTTGGTTTTATGCTCACAACCTCACCTCCCCCCCTAAAAAAACTATTTAAAAAACCCCAACCAAAACCAAAACCAAACAAAAAAAGAAAACCTTCTATGGCTCTCTTTCTGACAGTTTTCCAGATTACGGATGCCAACAGCTTATGTTTGAAAAAAAAGGGGGATATTTCTGAGGAACACAGTCCAAGTGTCTGTCTTGTTGTCCAAGAAGTGGATTCATTAAACTGGCTGTTCTGCCAAAGGAAAGAAATAGCCATATATTATACATTTTTGCTCTTTTTTAAAATCTTTTTTTTTTTTAGTTAAGATAGGTTTTCAAATTGTGTTGACATTTCATGTTTTGATTTTCCGTTTTTGTCATAGGCGGTAGAGAAAGTTCTTTACTGTTCATATTCAGCTCTCTTCATTGTGTACTCACACTATCAGTGAAATCTTCCTGGCTTTTCTGTATGATACATCTACTTATATTTCATTTTGTTTTTAGGAAGAAAAATAGATATGAAAGACAGACTTTTCCTAGGAAAGGGCATGTGAGAAAATAACCTCTGCCTTTCTTGTTCAAGTAACATTTTTCTAGAAACGAAAAAAAACCAAATGTGGTTGTGTTGCTAAAGATTTTGTCTTTGAAGATTATGAGCTGGGATTTTGTTTTTTGTTTGTTTCTTCCCTCTCTCCAGCTGACAGGGTTCGCGGTCGGAGACATCGTCGTGTGACTCGCAAGGAAGTGGAAGATTTGTGGTCGGGTCAGGACATCGCAGAGGCTGTGGAGAGAGCTCTCAACCCAGAGGAGGTGCAGGTCAGTAAGAGTGATCATGATGATGGTGGTGGTGGTGGTAGGAATAATAACAATAATTATAATAATGCAACACCTCTAATCTTCAACTTCAACACTTATATTATGACCAGTTTGTGTTGCAGGTGCTGTAAAACTCGTACAAAAACTTAAAATAAGTACTCTTGTGAAGAAATTGTTGAAATTAAAGTAACTATTTTGTAAATCTTTTTCATGTAAAGAAATGACAGAGTTGTTGTTTTTTTTTAACCACTGTAAATCTTTGTCATCATGTAAAGGATTCACCAAGTTTGGTTTTTTTAAACCACCGTAAATCTTTGTCATGTAAAGGATTTTCAAGGTTTTTTTTAACCACCGTAAATCTTTGTCATGTAAAGAATTCATCGGAGTTGTTTTTTTCGTAACCATTGCAAATGTTTTTGTCTTGTAAGGGTTTCACAGTTTTTCTAACCACTGTAAATGTTTGTCATTTTAAAAAAATTCAGAGAATTTTTTTTACCACCGTAAATCTTTGTCATGTAAAGGATTCACAGAGATTTGTTTAAAAAACCACTAAAAGTTTGCCCTGTAAAAAATTATTCACAGTTTTTTTAAAACCGCTGTAAATGTTTGTGATGTAAAGTAGTAACCAGAGTTGTTTTTTTTCTTACCCATTGTAAATCTTTCATTTGTCATGGAAAGAATTTGTGGCGTCGGTAGCCTAGTGGTTAGGCTACCAGACTCGTAATCGTGAGGTTGCGAGTTCGGGGGTTCGAGCCTCAGCTCGGTCCAACGTTGTGTCCCTGGGAAAGGCACTTTACACGAACTTTCCACTTGACTCGATCCTATTGGAGACAGACGTTTAACTAGGAGGTCCCGCCCCTTAAATAACCTAATAGTGTTGATAGGGGCGTTAAACCTATACCATTTCACCATTTTCATTTTGTGCAAAGAATTCATACAATTGTTGTTTTTCTTAACGGCTGTATTTCATGAACGGCAGCAATCTCTGAGTGCCAGCCAGCTGAGTCGGCTAGAGGAGTACACGCGGAGCCAGATGGAGAGAAAGCAGCAGGAGATGAATAGAAAACTGCAGGATGCCATGGCAGAGAAGGCTGTTGTAAGTTGGGCTGGATGTTTGTTCTATTTTAGAGGCTTGAGTGGGTGGTTGGCGGGCGCTCTGGTGCGTACGATTGCTCATTTTTTCCGGTTAAGAATCTTTTGTCCTTATCTCTCCTCCTTCTTTAAGGGTAAGGGGTTAGGGTTTTGGATTAGTTGTTAATTTTTGTATTATGGGTTAATATTTGGAGTTTAGGGGTTAGGGGTTAGTGTTTTGGATTTGTTGCTAAGTGTTTTTGAATAGGGGTTAGGGGTTACGGTTTTGGATTAGTTGCTAAGTTTTTGCATTGTGGGTTAGTGTTTGGGGTTTAGGGGTTAGTGTTTCGGATTAGTTGTTAAGTGTTTTTGAATAGGTTTTAGGGGTTAGGGTTTTGGATTAGTTGCTAAGTTTTTATATTATGGGTTAGTGTTTGGGGTTTAGGGGTTAGGGGGTAGTGTTTTGGATTAGTTGCTAAGTGTTTTTCAATGGGTGTTAGGGGTTGGGGGATAGGGTTTTGGATTAGTTGATAAGTTTTTGGATTATGGGTTAGTGTTTGGGGTTTAAGGGGTTAGTGTTTTGGATTAGTTCCTAATTGTTTTTGAATAGGGGTTAGGGTGTATGTTAATTTCTAGTTTTAGTAATGTGTGTAATCTTTGGCACTTATAATAATGTGACCTAATTGTGTTGCACGTGTTGTGGAACTGACTGAAACTGCAAGTCTTGTTGTGAACATTGGGATTCTGTTGAAAGAGAAATTGATTGTGATATTTGAATTTTTTTTTTTTACCTATTGACAAAATGATGGCTTAAAATATTTTCTAGATAGTCTGATCAGTGAAATGGTTGGCTGGTTGATTATTTTATTTTGATTATAGGATTGGAAAGATTTTGTTTAGTCAAAGAGCAGGTATAGGCTTTTTATATATATTATTTGCTGTATGCAAGTCGTTGAATTGACTGAACTTTTCTTCAATTTCAGGATACGAGACACGTTACCCCGGTGCAGAAGTTTCGAGTTGCTGGATGTTGTTCCAGGGACATTGACGCTAAAGCTCGTAAGTCTCTGGGTATTCCTACGGTTTTTTTCTGAGACGCCGCGATAGTGACTGTGTTAATCCATTGATTGATTATGAAATAAGACAATAAATACATTTATTAGAAGACGGAAAGGCTATGATAGAGCTCCTCTACTGTACTGGGAATGACACCAGTAGGTGACGTCACAGGCTTCGCGTCTTGCGTCTCACACCACGCTCAGCGCCGCCCGCACCCCCCCTTCCCCCCCACACACACACGTCATAATTGAAAAGCGAATTTAAATGCAAAATACCTTTGAAGTTTGTCGCCCCGCGGGATAAGACTGCATGCAGAATTTTTTAAATAATCAAACAAATATACTCACCTATGAAACCAAACTTCTCCTATAGGTAGGGAAATTCCCACTTTTGGTGTAGGTCAAGATTTCTGGAAACCCCCGAAATCTGGGTTTGCCCGCTTGTCCTTAAAAGCGACCATACGATGTGTATATTGTGTCAATGATGGCGATGCACAGACATTCTTTTCTTTCTCAAGGTTGCCTGGTCACAGTATGGCGTCCGGGGGCCGAGTGGTCGGAGATGTGCGAGGGTGGCCGGTACCGGCTGTTTCACCTGGCGGCTTCCGCAAGCAGGTAAGACTTTAACTTTTACTGTCCCCACGGTTTTATGCCAAAAAAATTCTTAAATTATGTAACAGCCCAAATATGCGAAATTATGCGATTCTGTTAAATTTAACAAAGAGTGACAAAGGAAAATCAGAAATTATGCAAAAAATGATCAAATTTTTCTGAAATTAAGCGAACTGAGCCCAAAAATGTGAAATTATGCGATTCGGTTAATTTTATCAAAGAGTGACAGAGGAAAATAAGAAATTATGCAAAAAAAATTATCAAATTTTGCTAAATTATGCGGGGTGCTTAAAACCCCAGGGACAGCTTGAACTATCACTGCAGTGTGCAGCTTCACCTCTTGTAAAGGAATTTGGAAAAATAAATTACATCTTTATCAATCCCAGAAAGGCAATTTGGTTTACAATGGCTAATATATATACATACATTTTTAATTATAAATGCTTAATACACACACGTACACGACATACGTAAATTCACAATACTACTCAGATACAGAACAATGTCACAACACGGTGGAATCAGGCACTCATCAATTTTTGTGCATATGGAGTTATTGGTATCATCTTTAAAGTTTGTTAATTAGTCATGCTTTTGAGTTTGAGGAAAAATGTCCCATCTATCTTGAGTAGAAGTTGAGATATTTGGATGTAAAGGTGGGGTTGCCTGGTGTTGGAGGTCAAATTAGGGAGAAAATGTCTGCCCAAGTTTTGTGACTTCCACAGCTTGAGTGTCCTTGGGAACAGGAAATTTCCTTTTTTTTTTTTTTGGTCCCCTTGATCAACATTGTTCAATAAAATTCTCACTGATATGTGTTTCTACATGGATGTCAAAGATATTGAGCACTCCCCCCCCCCCGACTCACACACACACAACAAAGAAAAAAAAAAAGACAAAATTTTTATAAAAACTGTCCCCGTGGTTGTATGCACCCCACATAATCTTGCAAAATGTGATCATTTTTTGCATAATTTCTGATTATTTTCCTTTATCATTCTTTGTTGAAATTAACAGAATCGCCTCATTTCACATTCTAAGGCTCATTTTGCATAATTTCCGGATTTTTCTTGCATAAAACGACGGGGACTGGAAAAATTGCCCCGTTGGAGGAAAAAAATATTTTTGATTTCATGATTTCGACAAGCGCCCTATTTCTCCGTGATGCTGAGACTCGCGCAAGAGAATTTTACACATGCTAACGATTTTACTCTCATTTTTCGTCTACTCATCCAGGGGAGCTAATAAGCAGTGTCGAGTGTCGTTGACTGCCTCGCGACAGACGCGTGTCCAGCCCAGACCCATCAGCGAAAACTTGTGTGACCTCATTTATGAGCCAAGAGAGGTGAGGATTTTTGCCCCAAGAAGATGAACGTATGTTGTATTTTTAGCTGTATTTCCAGAGGCCAGAATTTTGTGCAATTTTACCGCATAATGAGCAAAGTGAACAAAAAAGGATGACCAGATTTTGTTGTGGACCTTTTGAAGGTTTTCATTTGTTTTTTTTTTCATTAATTTTTTGTTGTTGTTTGGTGAGGGGGGGGGGAGACCCTCTCATAGGTATACAGATGATACTAGATCTAGCACTAGAATCAGGTAATCTTTGCCTTCTTTTACCTTCCCGAACACAAAATGATGGGTCAGCATCGCTATTATCATCTAATTCACCTATTTCAATCTCTGATCCAGCACCGTGAAGCGGCTCATCATCACTTTCATCCACAAACGCATCAAAAATATTGCGGCGCTTCTTGGATGCCATCGTAGTGAAATCACAACCGAACTGAGAATTGGCAGGGAATAAGTCTCTTGTGGAAAAAATTCACTAAAAAAAACCCCCCGAAAGCGTAAGGCCGATAACTCTAGTAATTTATCACGTCACGATGGCTTCCCAAACTGCTGTAAACTGCCAGACCCAGTTGCAGTCCAGGATGAATATGGAACAAAACTATAAAGTCCATATATACCGGAGGGCCGCCTGGTTCGACAATTTTATTACGTGACCTCATCCCGGATACGCCCTGGTAACGGCTGTCGGTGAGTTAAGATATACCCAGTGGAGCCTGTCAAGGAGCAAAACAGTTGTGTAAGACAGGTGCTTATCTTAGGCTGTGTCATTGCAATACCGAAAAAATACGGGGAGGGGGGGGGAATGAGGGCGGGAATTGGTCATTTGTTCAGGTAATTATCTTGGTCAGAGATGGTCGCCATAGCAGCTTCGACTGAACTTACAGCGTATTTGCATCGTACAGCAGCGTTGATTCAACTTACTCAAAGATTAACTGGGGGGAAAAAATGCAGGGTCATTTAGAGAGAATAGACAGAAGTATGAAGTCAGTGGGTACGGTCATGGTTACTGCTCAACAAGGATTTGGATGGCACTGACAACTAGAAAAAAGCAAACACATCTCTTGGACAAATTGTGGATTCATTTCCATTAACACCCCCCCCCCCCCCCCCAAAACACACACACACCCATCCTTGCCCCCCCCCCCCCCTAAAAAAACACACACGCAAAAAAAACAAAAAAAGGACCAAAAAACACCTAGGTGAGAGAATCCATCACCGTCTGTTAATTTTTTTAATGTTTTCTTTCAGGCGTGGCTGGTGAAGGATCTAGAGCGGACTCAGCCAATGGGTGGAGAGTTCGATTTTGTCGGCGCTCTCGTCCGTCTGGTACAACCTGCCAGGTAATGTTGTTCGAGGCCCCACTAGGGAATCGAACTCGTCTTCTGCGCGCACTGGCAAAGCACCTAACCTCAACGAGACGTGTTCCGTACATCTGGAATTTGAGTCAACCGAAATGACGAAAAATAAAGAATAATATTCAAGAAAATCATTGGAAGTAACTGGCAATATGATTATGGCACACGTCACTTTTCAAAATGGCGCATGGCAGAGTCTTACACTATGCAGTCAATGAACTAGCATTAAGGTGATATCAATAACCTCATCATTCGTAAAAAGTGACGCGTGCCAAATTCCACGGACACAAATATTATTATTCTGTTTACAAACGTATGACCTGTTCATTCTCTCTTCCCACAGACCGTCCCACCCCTTTGTGCTGTACCTCTGCGACAGCGAGAAAGATTTCCTGTGTGTCAAGATATGGCATCCCACCCAGGTAATGTTTCATTGTTAACGACTGTAGCATGCTTCTCGGGAAGCCGATAATGTTTCGGAGTGCTCTCACAGTGTCTTCTGTTGTAACAATAGTTGTAAAGCGTATAGAGCCTGCTATAGAGCGGGCATATGTTCTGTATAAATGCAATTATTATTATTATTATGGAGCCCAATGTGTTCAGGGAACAGGGTTATAACCGCCGGATGCTCCCAGCGTCTGATGGGGTTTAAACAGTCAAAGGTACGTCCGACCGGACGGACCTGTCCGAGACAACCACCCATTGTAGAGGAGAAAAGTGGTTAAGTATCATTATAGTATTATTGTAGTAACAAAACGCAATGGGGGGGGGGAGTGGTCTTTTGTACGGGTGATTATCGAAGACAGGGGGTCATTACAGCAGGTTCAACAGTATGTTGACAAAAGCAACAATAGATACTTCAAAGCCTAATGTAGGTACAGCTGTTCAAAGAATTTTCTCTCTCCTGACAAAATTTGTGGGTGGTTGGCGGGTGCTCTGGTGTGGTTTGCTTCTTCTGTCTTATCAAACATCTCTATCGTCTTTATCTCCCTAGCTTCTGTTTTTGTGTTTGTTACTCTCTTACAACACCTTGAATCTTTGGCTCGACCTTATTGTGTTGCAAGTGCTGTAATACACTTTCTAAAACAAAACAAATGCCAAAAATTTGCTTTCTGGGCTTAGAACAGTTGTCCAGCTTGCCTCACACACACACACACACACACACACACACACACACATATATATATATAGCATCAGTGTTCTCTCCTCACCGTCCAGCACCAGGTCAACGCGTGGAAAGAGAAGCCGTGTCTTGTGGTGTGTAACCTCACACTGACCAATCAGACGTATCGGGGCTCCGGGTCCACCCTGGTCACAGCCGAGGCGAGGTCAGAGTTCACGACCTTCACCAGTTCGGGTCATACGAGCCAGTACAGAGGCACTTTCTCGGAGATGACAAACATGAGGAAGGTATGTTGGCAAAGTTTAGATCTCAGGAAGACGCTGCGCTTCCTTAGAATTACAAAGTTCTGTCTGACATTTTTGGTTGTTTTGAGTTAAGCTGTCTCCGTGGTTTTTATGCACCCCGCATAATTTAGCAAAATTTGATCATTTTTTGCATCATTTCTGATTATTTTCCTTTATCATTCTTTGTTTAAATTAACAGAATCGCATAATTTCACATTTTTGGGCTGTTTGCATAATTTCAGACTAAACAATTCCTCTTTTTCTTGTTATGTTTGTCTTCTTTCTTTTTTCTTCAAACATAACAATTTGCGCCATGTCAGTACATTGTTACGTAACCTAAAAATATCGGTCGCCAAAGTCCGGACACTGGGCTAAAAAACAACAACAAACAAACAACAAAAAAACCTAATGTTTTTCTTTTGTCTTTTTCCATTCACAGTCTCGTAATTTCTTTCAAGACGCGAATGATAGGTTGGATCAGCGTCTCTCGTCGTCCGCCCCTTCAACCAGGTCAAGTTCTACCCAGGAAGAACATCACCAACAGGTTTGTGGCCACTCTGGTGTGGTTTGCTTCTTTTACTTCTTTTCAGTGCAGCTAATTTCATAATCTGCCATCTATCGTCCTTATCTCTCCTTCTTTTTTGTGTTTGTAACTCTCTTGTAACGCCTCTGTTCTTCGGCACTTCTATGACCTTATTGGGTTGCGAATGCCGTAAAACTCTTACTAAAACTAATCATAATCTGTTCTCAGGTAAATTTTTTCCCTTATTGTGCTGTCATGAGGGACGCTATCTCTCAACTGCAGCGAGTGCAACTTTTTTAATTTAAATGAAAAACTAAGAAGAAATAACGAAACAAAAGGAAACTAAGATTGTAAGATGTCCATTGGTGTTTTTATTCGAATAACGGCTTTATTTGGAACACACACGCACACACACCCCACCCCAGAAGTTTATTCAGGCAATCATGGACTGGCGCTGGTGATAGTTTTTATACAGTGGAACCTGCCCTAACAGGATTTTTTAATCCTTACTTAACAAGGAGAACAATATTGGTTGTGTGTTTTTGTACAGGATTGTAGCGAGGACTTCCCTCCTGACGTCCTGGAGAAGGTCTTCGGCCCCATGAGCCAAGGAGACGGTTTCCCAACAGCTGGAGCGTCGGCGGCCGGAACCGAACGACGACAGACGCGTGACCTTGACGCAAACTCTGACTTGACTCGCGGGAGACTGGCTGGTGTCAAGAGAGGTCACAGCAACGACAACGTTTCACAAATCTCGACAAAGCGGAAAAGTTCTTCTTCGACCCCAGATCTTTCTGCAAATAATCTAGAAGGAAAGAGTCCGAGTACGTCTGCTGTGTGCGAGGAGGACGACCAGAGTGGAGAGTCGGAAGTGCTGAAGAAACGCAAGCGGTTGTTGAGAGAGAAAATGCGTAAGTTGATGGCATATGACAAGCCTTCCCCCCTGTCCACTTTGCCCAACGGAGGGTCGCCAGCCAGCGGCAAAGAATTCAAATCTCCATTTCCAAAAAAGTCCTGACCGAACTACAATACCGTGCCTTGTTTATCGTGAATCTTTAACACTGCCATCAAAAGGCTCATATATAATTTTTAAAATCTTGCCATCAAAGGCAAAGGCATTTTGGAGAAAATCCAAAGAAACTGGGTGGTAGACATCGCCGATCGGTGAGATGAGGCGGCAAGGTGATAAAGGGCTTGTTTAGACATGTCAGATATTGCTATGGAAGATGTAGTTGTCTCTTGTAATGTGAATGTACAATGACTGGTCCGTTGATGATAGTCAGTGGTTGGAGGGCATCATTGGTAGATCCTACTTCTTTTCTTTTCCTCTGTAGTTTCTGTCTGAAGAATTTTTATTTGAAAAAAACCAAAAACAATAAAATAAAAAAACAACCCCACATGGAGTGTTTATGTCACCAGCCTGTTCTGGTGATCTCCTACAGGTAAAATCCTGGTGAGGCCAAGCTGAGTCCGTTTGTGCCACTGACTGTAGTGTCTTTAGGCCATTCCCAAAGGGGGGACATTTCTCGTTCATGCACAGTAGAATTGTAAATGGGCTGATTCTTCCACGTCATGCTCATTACTGTGCCTGATCTACAACAGGGAACTGCTGCTTTTTCTTTCCTGATCCTTACTATTGTCATTTTCCTCTACTTCTTTTGTATGTTTGTCACACTCTTGTGACCTGCTGTTTCAGGGGTGCCTTGATAGTCGAAGCAGACTTTGTGCTGTTGAAGCTAGAGAGGTGAGCAGTCTAAGTCTGATTGCCTGTAAGGACTTCTCTGTTGACACCCACCCCTTGGCGCTCATATGACCTTATGCAGTTGCGAGCGCCGTAAAACCCTCTACTATTTAAAAAAAAAAAAAATATGAGTCCATTTGGTCAAGTCGTCTATTCTGGCTTAGCACATTGCAAATATGCGGCCGCCCGCCCTTTAAAAGAAAAATGTGAGGCAGCATAGTGGAATCAGGCTCTCGTCAAAATAATCAGAGTGAAAAAACTTGCATTTTCCCGCAGGTTTGTGGATTTTGGTCAAATTTTCGTTTTTTGGCTGAACACCTTTCATGCCCATTTTAGCATTAATAATATTTAATATTTGAAGGGGGTGGAGATTGCTCACAAACATTTCTTCTGTTTGTCCATTTTTATTTGTGCCCTCTCTTTATCTTTATGACATTTGATAAATTAGGTTTTCATTTCTGTATTGTCATCAGGTTTGTGATATCATGTGTGTATCAGAGTGGTGATACGGTAATTGAAAGTTTTGTAATGTTTGAATTTTTGCTGGAAAAAAAGTTTTATAGCATTATCATGTTTACTTTTACCTATTTTTTAGAGTATTCTAGTCTGGCACGCACATAGCAGACAGGTTTTCAGATCTGTTTTTTTTTTCTTATTTATGCAATGGTTATATTTTTAAAATTTAAAACCTGTGCTCAGCGAAATTTGTACTTAAAGTGAAAGAAAAGACTTGCATGTCCCACGATTTTGCTATGGGGCTGTTCAAATATAATCTTACACCTTTTTGGGACTCCCTCCCCCCTCCCCCCCCCCTCACACTTTTCTTACATTTCACCTCACAAAAGTGGAATATTACTTACCCCTCCCCCCTTCCACCTCATTTTCTTACACTTTTTTTACAGGAGCCAAAGACCCCCCACCTCACCCCACCCCCCTCCAGGTGTAAGAAAATATTTGAACAGCCCCTATGTGTGTGACTGACTGTATTGATATCACTTGTTACACTTATTACTGAATGTCAGTTTCCTGTAAGTTGACCTTGTTACTCCTGAATTCTTGGTCAAGTTGTCCCCATAACTCTGCCTCAGTTGTGGAAATGTATGGTGTAACTTGGGCAACATAGTACCAACTGACTGAAGTATATGTGGTATGCAGAATGAAAGTGTGTGCATGAGTGTGTTTATAATTTTATATATATATATATATATGAGGTATCATGGTAAAATCAGGCGCTCGTCAAAATAATGAAATTAAGGTCATAGAAGCCAGCATTTTTCTGGCCATTGGGCAATTTTTTTGAGAATTCTGATATTTAAAAAAAAATTTTTGGCTTAACACATTTTGTGGCCCTTTAAAGACCCATTCCAGCGTGGATTCTACTGAAAAATGTTGATCAAAGGCATGAAAAAATGTAAATTTACAGTTTTCAAGGACACTCAAGCTTTGGGAGTCCCCAATATTTGGTGGTCATTTTCCTTTCTAATTTTACCTCTGTCATCAGGCGACCTCCACCTGCTTCAATTTGAAAAGATCTCAACTTCTTTTCAAGATAGAGGGTTTCTTATTTTTCATCCAAAGCAAAATAAAAGAACAAGCTTTTAGATGATACTTATACCTTCATATGCCCAAAAATTGACGAGCGCCTGATTCCACCGCGTCGAAACACATACACATTGTATAATTTGGCCGCTTTTAAGCACAAAGGGGCTTTCCTGAAAAATGCTGTTTTGAGGAAATCGAAGGTAAATTTTTTGCCCCTCGTTCAGTTTCTTTAAAATACAAGGAGGGTTTTTTCTATTACCAAACAAATATACACACCAATGAAACCAAACTTCTCCTATAGGTAGGGCAATGCCCACTTTTGGTGTAAGTCAAGATTTCTGGAAACTCATGAAATCTGGGTTAGCCTGCTTGTCCTTAAAAGAATAAAAGCGACCATGTGTGTATGTACATATGTGTGTTGGTCAGCTCAAGTCTCATGTGGTTTGTAATGTTTGTTTTTTTTCTGTTGTTTTTTTTTGCTGAGACTTTCGAGTTTGTGAATTCCACCAAAGATGTAATATATTATTTGTTCAAAAAAAGATGATTTATTTGAAAGTAAGTATTGAAGTTTACGTGTCTGTCATGCAGCCTACTGTAAGGTTGTTATCTCAAATGTTTATTTCCCAGATACAAACATTATTGTTTGTGGAGAGGGTTTTGTATGTATGTCATATATGTTTGTTTTGTTTGTTATGTTTGTTATGTCTGTGGTGTTTGCTCCACAAAAACTGTTATGTTATGTTCACGGGTTTGTGATTTGCTTTAAAAAATTCATAGCACACTGAGAACCGAGAGCTTCTGTTTAAACTTTCAGGAAGAACAAATCAAATAAAAGAAGTATTTGACATATCAATTTGTTTATTTCTGTTATTCTTTGAAAAAGAGAAATTCCTGTTTTCCAATAACTGTTTGAGAATGAGATTGGCTTATTCAGATGTTACCATTTTTGTGCCTTTAATCCACATCTTTCAGTAAAATCCATAAAGAAATATGTGAGGCAGCGTGGTGGAATCAGGCTCTTGTCAAAATAATCAAAGTGAAGAAACTTACATTTTTCCGCAGGTTTGTGAATTTTTATCAAAGTTTTGTTTTTTGGCTCAATACCTTACATGCCCAATAAAGAACCCCATTTCTGTGTGTATTTTTCTGAAAAACGTTGATTAAAGGCACAAAAATGTAAATTTTCAGTTACCACGGACTCTTAAGCTAAGGAAATAATTCATCTTTGGCGGCCATTTTCTTACTAATTTTTCACCTGAAAACAGGTGACCCCCACTTCTTTCTTTTGCAAATATCTCAACTTGTATTCTAGATAAATGTATATTTTTTTCACCCAAATAAAGACAAGTGAATAAACTTTAAGATACCAATAACTCTACATGGCCAAACATTGACGAGAGCCTGCTTCCTCCACGCTGCCTCACGTGTTTTTAAATGGACGTAAAAGGTGTTGAACCCAAACAAACAATATTGGATACAAATTGCCAAAATTGCAGAAATATTGCGTGTTCTTCGATAAAAATTGCCAAACTGGCAGAAAAATGGCTTTTTTTTTCTATTTCATTATTTTGATGAGCACCTGATTTCACCACGATGCCTCATATTTATGTAATCTGAACACAGAAGTTCACGAGTCAGGGGTGCGAAGAAATACGTGGCAGTCGCAGACTGAAGGGGGAAACAAAGTCCCAGGATTCTACACAGTTATCAGAGCATAAAATGATAATGTGTTTGTGTGCCTGCAGAAAGGCCCCAGTTGTCGGTAAAGCTATTTTTGAGCATCCTGGTGAAAAGGCAAAATATTCGTACCAAGTCGAAAATTTAACTCCCTCAGAAAACACTCGTTTAACGATTTAATTATAAAAACATCAGACAACACTCGTTTAACGATTTAATTATAAAAACATCAGAAAACACTCGTTTAACGATTTAATTATAAAAACATCAGAAAACACTCGTTTAACGATTTAATTATAAAAACATCAGAAAACACTTGTTTAACGATTTAATTATAAAAACATCAGAAAACACTCGTTTAACGATTTAATTATAAAAACATCAGAAAACACTCGTTTAACGATTTAATTATAATAACATACTGAAAGGATTTGTTTTATTCATTGTTTTTGCAACTTGCTGTACTCAACCAAAGGTCAAGGATGTGCTAGAAATTGGATTTTTCTCAAACTTTGCTTTTACCCTCTTGTGTTACAAAATGTGGCTATCATGATATCTTCTCACCTACTCAAGATAGTGGAAAAATTTTAAAATCTGCGTGTTCATTATTGAATTTGCTACATGAATATGCCTTTATTTCATTATCCAAAATTTCCGACAACCCGGACCTTTCTCTTAGCACACACAAATATTGAGACTTAAAATAAAGGATTTTATTTCATATTTCATAGGTTTTAGATATAGGCCTATATATGAGGCATTGTAGTGAAATCAGGCGCTCGTCAAAATAAGGAAATCAGAGAAACAGGCCTTTTTCAGCCAGTTTGGCAATTTTTATCGAATTTTTTTTTTGACTCAACACCTTTAAGGTCCATTTAAAAACACTTTTCTGTGTGGATTTTATTGAAAAATGTAGATTTAGAGCACAAAAATGTACATTTGCAATTTCAAAGGACTCCCAAGCTTTTGAAGATGCCAGACTTTGGTGGCCATTTTCTTGCTAATTTTTCCTCTGAAACCGGGCGACCCCCCACCTCCTTCAATGGCAAATATCTCGACTTCTATTCATGATACATGAACATTTTTTCACCGAAATCAAGACAAATGAACAAGCTGTAAAACAACATCAATAACTTCACATGTCCAGAATTTGACGAGCGCCTGATTCCAGCGCGTTGTTGAAACACATATATATATATATATATATATATATATATATATACTTCATACTTCATTTGTACCAGACATTAACATGAAATGCATGACATAAAGCCAAACAAACAGCTCTGAGGTAATATATATATTTATTATATTTGCAAAATGTTTGAAGTCACAGAGGTGAGTAGATTTTGTCAAAGTATGTTAAGACTAAAATACACACATACACAAACACACACATAAAAAACTCATTCAAAAGCAAGCACTGAGGAGAAAATGAAATACAGAATAAATATAGACGAACATCGAGCATTGAATCTGAGCAGCATATATGTGTTCTGCGTTATTTACCCACCGATCGGCGCAATCTTAAGCTGTGCGTCTAAACGATCATATAATTGCGTGGCAGTCTAAAGATTGCGTT